ACTCGGTAAAATGGAGCCTCACTCTAGTATACTTATGTGGCTGACGACTAGGCCACCTTGCCATCACAATGCACAATCACAAGCCATATCACAAATTCTTGATGAATACCACATACAGTATATAAACAAATGTGAAGAATGATATATTATTAATTACATAAAATATTAATAATACATATTATCAACATGAAACAACAAAATACAGTTTGTATTTAACTACTACTATATCTGCAAGGCAAACTGTCAGGGATGCAATTTAATTCCTTTATATTATTCTAAAACAATAATGCAAAATTAGAACCTCTTATTTATACAAGTTCAATTACGAAAACTCTCGCCACTTGTAATGAATGGATAAGAGCCTCGAAACTACCTTCACACCACCCATACCATGACTTTTATCAACACTTTGAGGGACAACGTTGATAATGGCCTTGTTGTTAGGCAGTCGACTCATTACAAAACAACCAAAATCTCCTCATTAGCAAACAGCAGCTGACTGACAGACTAATATGTGCAATGCCTTTAATATGGCAAGGAAAAACCTTTTTTAAAAAGTTAGAAACAAAATAACAACAGGCACTATATGAGCTGTATGTGATCATGTTTATGGGATACCTGCACAAAAATGAAACCGACATCATACCATATATTTTAATGTTGATCAGATTGCAGCAAATAATTTTGGTGTGCATCATTATCCTTGGAGACCCCACCAGTTCTCTCCAATAAAATGAGTGGTCACGAGGCACTAACAGATTGCCGATGATCTTTATGGGCATTATTGCATGTAATGCGTAATTCACACAGATTACCTGTAATACAGCATTTTAAACATACAAAAATATATAGAGGAGCATTTTCCTTTCATGTGTATATATAGTTATAGAGAGAGAGAACATCACAATTACCAAGACAACTTATGTGTGTGTCATGTGCAGTGTATGATTGGCACACTGCACATTCATGTCCAATGGGATCTTGGACTTAATCTCTATTAAAATAATTAATATGTCATGTTTGGTTCTCAAATTTGTGAACTCTTCCCAGACAGCTAGACTGATTAGGACAAAATCTGCAACAGAGAATTCTTATATCTAAAAGATAGTTTCTCGGAAGGCTGAACATCAGTTTCCTCGTTCAAAAGACATTTTTTCAGGGCTTAAAGCATTTTTAACTCCCAAATAACATGCCTTATTTGACCCCACATCACAAAACAGATACCCAAGGTATTGTCTCATGCACGTTACAATTCCTCAAGACTATAAATAAGTGTTCACAAACAAAATTTTGTTTGCCAAGTCTCTTCAGTTACTTGTTTAGTGAATATCATAAAAGAAACAAAAAGTTTACAATGCCTAAAATACTGCCTAATAACATTAAAGATAAAAATAATTTTGGAGAAACAAGGAAGGGAATAGCAGCATGGTAATAACACATTAATACTAATTGTACAAAACATTTTAGTACTTTTAAGGAGGATCATCCTATCAAGACTAATGTATAGCAGCATTTCTCCACCGGGGATCCACGGAACCACAAGGTAATTACGGTTCTGCAAGATATAGTGATAAATATGCTAAATCTAATCATAGGCAAATGTATTTTTGAGTTATTTCCCATAACATATTTGCATATAACCAGTATCAAGAGTAAAGACAAATTGTCTCCTTTCAGTTGACAAAGAAATCCATGTGTGTTTAACTAAGGTATGACCCAGAATTTTTTCAAGGGCAAAAAGGGTGAGAAATGCTGCTCTATAACATAGCAGAAGTATGTCACATCCAATCACATAACAATGGTGTTACTCTCAAAACCTGCCTTTAATTATTTCTAATTTAGCAATAAATTTTTTTTATTTTCTTTAATAAGTAACTTACACAATCCTGCAAGCGATGCAACAGCATTTTCTTACATTTCTTTACATATTTGTGTTTCTAGTTCTAACTGCTATAAGTCATTTAGTGGAGGTGGTGGTTTAGTAGTGGCAATTAGTCAGTGGCAGGAAATGGTTTTACTTCACTGATGTGAAGTGCATGCTCAGAGCTCGTGCATGCCAGCTGAACATTATATTGATTTATTTAATACACACACACACACACACACACACACACACACACACACACACACACACACACACACACACACACACACACACACACACACACACACGAGAGTTGTTACATTCTTGTACAGCCACTGGCACACACAGCGTTTCGGGCAAGTCCTTAACATGTTCTTCTCCCGGGTGAAATAAGAGACTAATATAAAAACATTAGTAATCACTGAGCCACACTGCCGAATAACAAAAATAAAATCAGCTTTATGACCTCATTAACTGCTGTAGATTGAAAAAATACAATCAAGAATAATGTCCAAAAATGAATTTAAGTTCACTGTACGTGTAAGTGTTGTCAGGTTCAAGTCAATACATTAAGGCTTCTCAAAATACTGTAAGTAAAACAAATATTGCTATGGGTTATAGGGGTCAATTTCTATAGCTGCCATACTTTCCACCTTCTTGAGGTTATCTCGAGATGATTTCGGGGTTTTTTTTTTTAGTGTCCCCGCGGCCCAGCCCTCGACCAGGCCTCCACCCCCAGGAAGCAGCCCGTGACAGCTGACTAACACCCAGGTACCTATTTTACTGCTAGGTAACAGGGGCATAGGGTGAAAGAAACTATGCCCATTGTTTCTCGCCGGCGCCCGGGATCGAACCCGGGACCACAGGATCACAAGTACAGTGTGCTGTCCGCTCGGCCGACCGGCTCTCTTACACTAAACTATTTTAAATTTTAAATCAATCTGACGAGTTCTCAAAATATACAACAGAACCTTGTCGGGGAAAAACAAAACAAAAACATGACAAAACAAAGAGGTATCCCTTCAGGGTACACTTAAAGATATTGTATTCTGGCATACAGAATTATACACAATTTAATTTAGTCGTACAAATTCTTATTACATCAAATTCTAGTGGACAAAATTTGACAAAACCAGTTCTGTTTCTGTAATGCATAAATAATAAGAGGCAGTTTGACTGCTGAATGATAAACTTTAAAGAACAAGTGAATAACAATAAAGAGTAAGCACAGATTCTTCGTAAAATGGTCGGTCTTCTTGCTTTGAAATGTGAAAATATTATCAATCATAAACTTTTAGTAATAGAACTTCTGCTATTAAATATAAATACTACAATTAATTAACAAATTAATAAACTATATATCACTGTGAATAAAGCACCACAATTGCCAATAATAGAGAAAAACAAAGAAAAGGTGGCAACTTTACACTACTTCTCAAACAATCATAAAATTTAAACTATGTTTTTGGAGAAGTGTACATGCCAATATAAATGATACAAGTACAGTAGTAACTTCTTCACTCACCACAAACTGTGGCCACCAAACATCCCACCCCCTCTTTTGAATTATTAACATATTATCTAACAGTACAGGCAATAATCCATGCTACCAATCAGTTGAATCAGTGCAATTTCCAGACTTCCTTACCTATTACAAAAAAAAAAAAAAAAAAAAAAATTACTGTATATCAAAATTGATATTTTATTTCTCTGGGTCCCCAGAGAAACCAAGGATTTCTCATGAACCAGGTGTAAATTAACAAATTTTAATCGATTAAAAAATGTAAACGATATAAATTTCGTAACAACAAATGTTCAAACATTGGTAACACATTGTGCTTTCAGCAATAATGTGTTCACTGTCGCTCCCTAATATGAAGGTAAAAATTTAAAAAATATTAAGACAGTGGGAGCATGCAACCCCATAAGATTTAAATTAATATAATGAGCCTAATGCAACTATATACAGTAATTGCATAGGTAAGAAAGTCTGGATTTTAGAGATTTTTTATGATAAATATTTATACAAATATATTTATTATAAACAACAAATGCCAATGCCACTCTTAACATAATACACAGTTCCTACTACACCTCTGCTCTGCCACATGGCGCTAACTCTAAATACTCTGCCAGCATATTCTACCATAGTAATTCACCAACATCCATAAAACGTTTTACACTGCATCTCACATCATATGATAAACTCTAAACGCAGAGACACACACATATACATACACACACACTCATAATATACACACACACACACGTAAGTGTAAGTATCCACAGAGAAAAAAATTAAATGAAAATATCAAACGTATTCGTGTTTCAACACATTATCAGAGAATACAGAGATGACATGAGCTTGGAATTATATAACCCCCCTACACCTGAGTAGATTAAGAGCCGTAAACATAATGTTGGATAATGGAAGGGACATGTGGATACTTATGTACCGTATAATCACATCACGTGTTTTTTTACGATCATTACATGCATGTATGTGTGCATATGAGGGTGTGTGTGTGTGTACCCGCCTATTTGTGCCTGCAGAATCGAGCATTGGCTCTTGGATCCCACTTTTCTAACCTTCGGTTGTTTAAAGCAATGACTCCTGTCCTACTTCTCTATCATACCTAGATTTAAAGCTATGAATAGTGTTTACTTCCACAATGAGCTTCTTTAGTTCATTCCATTTCCCCACTACTCTCACGCTAAAAGAAAATTTTCTAACACCTCTATGACTCATCTGTGTTTCCAGCTTCCACCCATGTCCCCCCTTAATCTGTTGGCATTTCATGTGAACATTTTGTCTATTTGCACTCTGTCAATTCCCCTAAGTATTTTATATGCTGCTACCATATCTCCCCGCCCCCTCCGTTTTTCTAACGTCGTCAGGTTCGGTGACATACGTACGTACACGTGTACGTGCATGCGTGTGTGTGTAATTAATATATACAAGTGCCACATTATTCATCATGTGTTAATTTCTTTGTGATTTACACACACATATACTCTATATATATTATATATAATATATATAATTTATTATATATGTATTTTATATATAATTATTATATATGTATAATATACATAATATATTATATAATATTTAGAATATATAAATATATATAATACATAATACATATACTTTACATATTATATATTATATATAATCATTTTATATAATCATCTCAGTTGACATTTGTATTCATATTAAAAATATCCTGTATTACATGCTGTATTTCTGTTTTCTTAAACATTAGTTAAAGCAAATGTTGCGTAACGGGGTTTAACGATAGAAGACAGGCAGGGCACTTTTTAACTACTCTTGTTACAAAAACAAAATATCACTGGTAAAAAATCATGATTATGAAAGAACTGGCAAAACTGTGCACGAAATGGCCGACATAAATCCGCCATTACGAGCTCTCCTTTAAACTTGGATGTTTTTCAAAATGGTTCAGTAATTAACATTTGGTGAACTCGGCTAGGAGAATAGTGCCGTCAAACACAGACGGTCCGTTTATTAACACTTATTATTATTATGCCAAGGCTATTTTGAGCTGTCTATTAAGTCCTGGAGATTTTGTCATCAGGAGAGTCATCTTGTACTGTAACTGTTTAAGACTTTACAAAATCCACACACATTGACATACACTTGCACATCTGAGGAAAAAAGTTCAGTATTAGATATATATATATATATATATATATATATATATATATATATATATATATATATATATATATATATATATATATATATATATATATATATATATATATATATATATATATATATATACATATATACATATATATATATATATATATATATATATATATATATATATATATATATATATATATATATATATATATATATTAATAGCTTGATAAATTAAAAGCTAGGTAGATTGATTGGCCGACTGTAGAAATAGATGGTTGGAAATTCTCAAAGATTCAGTAAAGAATATTTGAAAGCTTGATTGAGAAGCTTGCATCTGACAAGATCCAGCTCACTGAAGCATGAAATCACCTATCAATCCTATGACATTTCAAAGCTACATTAAGCAATATCTTAATCTTTACATAGACTTTGTCTAGGATAAAAACCCACATTAATGTATTTGTGAATTTTAGGTAAAGATTTACGCTAGTGTTTTGCACTCTCCCGAGTCCTTTGTCAAGGTCTGAGTATGTGGCGAGGACAAGACTTGCATCTCAACGACTAATGTGCATTAGTCGTTAAGATGCAAGTCTCGTCCTAACCACACTTTACACAAAATTCACAAATACATAAGTGTGTATTTTTATTCTATGTTGTTATGTCTGTGAGAAGACATTACCATTACTTACAGACAATATGTATTGTACCATTTACCAACTTTAAATTTAATTTTCAGAGTATCTTAAATGACCCATTATATTTCAAGTAAAACAGCCCTCATTTTCAACTTTAGCAAGCCAGTCACTCTCTGCACTTGCTGGTCTCTTGGAATGCATTATGAGTGGAATGCAGCAAGACAATGATGGAAATCAAAACAAATTTTAAGTGCACGAGTCGAGCAGATATTAACAACACAGGTAGTGAAAAAGGCTGCCTTATAATGAATAATCAGCAGTGTTTTAACATTCAGTAGATTAATAATTTATTATTGCAAAAAATTGGAAAAATCAAAAAGTTTTAGCCAGCTGCAAAATTCAAAGTCATTTTCCATTCAAATTCAGGCTTGAAAAAAGCTCTAGATACAAGATCAATATCTCTGGGATGTAACTCGATGCATCAAAACAGGTAGACACGGGTTCTTTATTGAGGGTATCCATACCCATTGGTGATATAAGAACCAAATACTTGGGATATAGTAACCAAATACTTGAGATATAGGAATCAAATACTGGGGGTTTAGAACTAACTACTAGGGGGGGGGGGGGTACAGACACCAAATACTGGGAGTATGGAGCTTGATTTCTGAACAATTAAACAAAAATGTTGTTGTTTGATTAGTATTTACTATCAACATTATCAATACATATTGAGGCTGCAAGGTTGCTAGCCAATCAGATCATTCAACACTAATGTCTTCCCACTCCCCAGGATTGCTAATAAATAAATTACACTATTTGATGTCATACTGTAATAATCTAATAGGACTATTATATCTAACAGGACCGGTGATGACAATGATAATTTTGAGAGAATAGCAAAGGGGATATAGGCAAATATTGGGTAATTCACTAGGGGTCTATAATTGTAAAAAGGTCAAGAACCCTCGATTTAACGCATGAAAACATTAAACATTTAATGCACTAAACAGTAAACCCATTATTATGAATCTGGTGAATACATTTGAATATTGTAGCAAATTATATCAAGTTAAAGAATGCAACACAATCTTTAACAAGCCTTACCTTTAAGAATCCAACTTTGCTAGTTCTGCTGTGTAAGCCCCAATGCTTTCCATGTCATAGAGGACGAAGTAAATCTGTTTCAGTGACGAGGACATGACATTAACAAAGTAGTTACAAATGGACTTGATGATAGTTTGTGCTGCTTGTTGTTTGGGAAACCCAGCCCTGAAAAGAACAAAAGCATTCATTTGTATTAGTTTTACTTGTGCAGTATACATATATACCAGTATAAAATACAGTGGCACCTCGATTAACGAGCGGCTCTATCTATGAGCATTTCGAGTAATGAGCGAGCCACTCGCAGAACAATTGTCTCTACTAACGAGGTTTTCCTCGATTAACGAGCGTTTCCGCTGGTTCTTGGACACCTTTTACGACAGTTTTGTTGTTGTTTTGCAAGACAAGTTTTCCACATGACGAGCTCGATGCCGGAAGGGATTAAACTCGTTAATGGAGGTGCCACTGTATATTACATAGTGTATGTATATGTATTTACATGTATGCATGTATGATGTGTGTTGCAAATAATCATTCTATAAGCACAACATTTTTTGGGCACAGTTGAGATCATAATTGCAATAATTATAGAATGACCAATGGCCAGTACATTATAGCGCCTATTTATATCCACCCAAACTCACTATTGTTTCTATCCTATGCTTCAAACAATTCAGTCATCTCACAACTATTATGTTACCTGGTAATCTCTTCCAGAAATCAACAACCCTGTTTCCAAACTAGTATTTACTAAGGTCTTTTCTAAATATAAACTTGTCCAATTTATATACATTGTTTCTTGTTCTATTTTGTGTTCATATATTTAACCCTTGTGTTGCTAAGGGCTATTTGGCCATTGTCACCCACAGGCGCATAAAAAAAATCTAAACGTGTTAATTTGTGGTCCATGATCACGAAAAAAATAATAATAAAATCGTAAGTGGCATATTTTGCCCGCTATAGGGTGGGGAAGTCTGGCAAAAAAGAGGGGCTGACTCGGCGTGCATCCGAGGCGGTCTGCTCAGCCCCAGCTGTCAGGCAGTAGTGGCCACAGAGAAATAATTACCTAATTATTTCAATGTCTCTTGATTGATTTTTCTTCTTTTTTGCTGTAATATTATTCAATAGTGTGTAGTGTGATATATTTATATAATAAAATGTGTGAATCATCGCTGTACTCAAAATTATAGTGAGCACATTATTGATTCAATTATTGTGTTCATAAAACAATAAACAAATACTTTGTCGGTTATTACACTATATACACAGGTTATATATAAGTATCTGCATGTTTTGCTTACCATAACGAACCACTAAGTTGATATTGCAAGTCAAAAAGCAGCGAGGTGTGGCTACCACATCTGCTAGTCAGCCTCTCACCGTCGCTCCCTCAGTGACTCCTCACTCGCCCACATCCTCCTCCCACCATACTGTTCTTGCTTTTATTCACTATATACAGACATTATATATATATATAAGTATCTACATGTTCTGTTCACCATAACTGTTCATCTAAGCTGGTATAGTGCCCAAAGAGCACAGTGGCCACCCCTACCCAGGGGTGATATCATGCATATATATCATGCAGATGTCGCCACCTCTCTCACCAAAATGGCTTCTCCCCACACTCCATTTGCTGTTATTACACTATATATACACGTTATATATAAGTATCTACATTTGTGTTCACCATAACAAACCACTAAGTTGGTATGCTGAGTGGCAGTGGCAGCCCGCCACTGGCTGTCACTCCCTCCCTCCCTCACCTCACCTGACTCGCCACTCTGCTCCCACCATACTGTTTTTGCTTTTATTTACTATATACAGACGTTATATATAAGTATCTGCATGTTTTGTTCACCATAGCGAACAACTAAGCTGGTATAGTGAGTCCAGACAGTAAAAGGTGGTCACACACAGAGTCAGCAGACAACGCTACCTCCCTCCCCACCAAGATTACTCCTCCCACTAGTGCTAATTATCACAACAATCCTGCCATTATCAGAATCCTGGTCATTCTTATCACAGTCAGGGGTCTTCTGTAATACTATCATCGCTAAATAATAGCATGTACATATATATATATTATGGCATTTTTAGGCGATGCTGTGGTCACAAGCTGAACAGCAGTGCTGTGAGCTCATGCTACGTGCGCCAGCCTTGGTGGCTCACTCAGTACCGAGGACCTCACAACCGGGAATGTGGCTAACATTTTTTTTTAAATGGCGTCTGTTTACAAGAGCCCTGATGAAGGCTAGGTGAACCCAGTGTATCCGCGGGCCGTTTAAGTCTTGCGTAGTACTCCAACACGTCATATGACATGATGCGCAATTTATAGCAAGTTACTCAACACGTCATGTGACGTGTTGCGTAGTTTAAGGGTTAATACTTTATTAATATCGTTCTTGTTATGCCCATTCATTCACATGTACACTTCAATCATGTAACCCTTAACTCTTCGCCTCTCTAGAGATGTAAATTAAGCTTTTTCAATCTCTCTTCATATGGAAGATTTCTAATTTGTGGGATTAACTTGGCCATTCTTTGCTGAAAGTGTTCAAGTAAATTTGTGCACATTATATAATACGGCTACCAGAACTGAACTGCATAGTCTAAATGGAGCCTAATAGGTGCAAGATATAGCTGAAAAAAAATATTAAGTGTTTTATTGCTAACACTTCTAGATATAAATCCCAATATCCTATATGCCTCCTTCTGAACATTTATGCATAGATTTTTTGGTCTTAAATTAATACTAATAATGACCCCCACCGACTGATCATGACCGCCACCGACTAATCTTGACCCCCACCGATTAATCATGACCCCCACCGACTAATCTTGACCCTCACCAACTTATTATGGCCCCCCCACCGACTAATCATGAACCTCACCAACTAATCTTGACCCCCACCGATTAATCATGACCCCCACCAACTAATCATGACCCCCACCTACTAATCATGACCCCCCACCTACTAATCATGACCCCCACCTACTAATCATGACCCCCCACCTACTAATCATGACCCCCCACCTACTAATCATGACCCCCCACCTACTAATCATGACCCCCCACCTACTAATCATAACCCCCACCTACTAATACTCAAAGCATCTTCTGGATAACTCATAGAAGAAAACAAAAAACATGTGACAACTATAAGGGATTCCCATCAAAATTATCTAACAAGCAATGATGACAAGAAAGCAATTTGAATTGAATGACTTAACAGAGTTTTATAACAAGAGTAACATACTTTCCACTTCCAATGGAAGGAAGAGCCAAGGACTTGAGGTTCCGAGTATCAGCAAGAACGAGACAGTTCTTGACACAGCGCTCCAACTTGTCAAAAGCATCTGTCTCATAAGCAGTTGGCCCGTTAACATGGATCACCCACCGAGCAGGAAGTTTGCACCCACTGCAAACAGCCACTATGGAGAAAGTGGTACACTGAATTGCATTTCACAACAAATTTATGCACCAATAACTGCATAATGCATCACCATGGGAATCAAAACCCTATAATAGTGAAAAATTGTGTGAACACTTTCTCACAAATTTTCTCAATTGTGAGGATTTGCATTACATGGAAACTAGCATAGGGAAGAGGAAGAGAGAGAACCTCTGCCCTTCTTCCATTACAAAGCTCAAGTTCATAAAATTTTGTTTAACATATTTGGAAGTGATTGCAAATGACTTTTTTTATTCTTTTTAAATAATTAATTGGGCACATGGTATTAAAGGATATTTTCATCATTTTGCTTCATAAAAATATTAGTTCTTTTAACTGGACGAGATGAGAGCCAAGTTTAAATTTGTCACAATATATTTTTTGTAATGAGATCCAGCTGTAATGTAATGAAATTTTTCTCATTTTAAGATTTTGTGATAACTGGCACTGAGGAACAACTGTATGGCATATATATTACAGAAGAAACACAACTAAAATTGTAATATTGTTTTTGTTGATGCATATCTACAAGGTTTTATCTGGATTTTGTATTTTAATTGCAAATATTTTGCAATGTCAATGATTGATATATTCATAAATTATTAACATTTTCATTCTCAATGCTAACAAGTCAGACAACACGAGAAATGTTCTAAATTGGATTATTTTTGTTACTGTACTTGTGTCCAATATGTTATGAATGCCAGGTAAAGTTACATTGTTGATCCTCAACATGTCTAGGCTCTCTACTGAGACTCGAACTGATGAAATAATTCATAAAATGTTAACACACTACATTTCCACTTGAACACAATTTTCATTATGCTCTTAACCAACACTGATGGGGCAAGGAGATAGTCATCCAGATAAGACTGGAAAGTACTGTGAATAAGAGGGTTAAAACAATTAGAAACAATGCAATACTGAAGTTGGTAACTGCTTAAAGATGAACTAGGAAACTTCAAAAAGAGTCAAACTACAAATACATCAGACCACACACCATCACAAGACGGCAAAGCTCCGTTGCAGTTGGCCAGTTCTCGGACTTCCTGCACCAGTTCCTTGCCTCCAGCTTTACTCAAAGCTAAGCCCACCTCTCCCAGGAAATCCAAGTTAGAGTTAGTGGGATGAACAACAGCATCTGCTGTTACTGTTGATATGTCACACTGTACCACGGTCAACTGTGGATGATGGAGTAATCTTCTAGTATTACAAAACATTTTCAGACAGTAATGACAAAAGAAATACAAAGTATGGCCAACTGCACATGTATTCAAGATTATATTCAATATAGTCAAATAAATAATGCATACACATATCAAAAATATATCCTGGGTGTGATACACTGACAACCACATGAATGATATACTGTGTCAACACCATGTATCATACACCAGCAACAATCGTACCTTCTGTCCAAGGAATAGCTTTTTCTCGGAGAGTACCGTGGATATCGCCGACGTTGGCTGTGCAGTTCCCATATCTTTTCCCTTGGCTCTTAGCTTCAGCGGTGAGGCTGAACCTAATTGGTTTAAAATTAAGAAAGAACTACTGTACATAAAAAATATATCTGTATATATCTGTATTGCATTTGGCTTTATTAGACTAATGCTAAAGGGAAACAGGTTCTTTAAGTGTGTAAATAAATTTGACAATGTACACAAAGCCCAAATATTGAAAGTAAGCACACAAAATACAACTTCATTCAGTGAAAAGGAATTATGCTTCAACTGGAGCAAATTGTGGAAGGTATTTGATTCCTATACAAGGCAAATCTCAGAATAAAAACACTATTATACAATACACTACATTGTATATGCAGTATACAAAAATATAAAATCCCATCCCATCATATTTGACACCAACTCAAACATCTGAAAATAAAGGAAGTGATGAAGCTTTGGTCCATCCTACACCAATATCAAAACAGAATGGAGTGAAATGTCGTCACTTCCCTTATTTTTCAGATGTGTGGATTGGGTATCAACATTCAGCCACACTGACTTACAGTCTGCATCATCATCATACTTACTACAATTGTCACCTGCCTGGAATACACTGGAATAAATGTATATAGTAAAGGACAAAGCTAGAAGGAAGCAAAGTGTACAGAGGGAGTAATATATTGGACAGTAATGAATAAATCCACAACGGCTGTGACGAGGGTTTGAACCTACTGTACGTCCGAGAGGATCCCAGACGCGCCTTAATCGACTGAGCTATAACATGGTAGTAAGAATTGCTTATTTGTTCATTTAATGCATTACGCTATTGTGATTTCTGTGTATTGGACAGTAATATATATCATAATTCACATAAAATGCCGCCACCTGGTGTTATGAAGTGGTAGGGTGCTGCTATGGATAACGGCTGGAGTGTAGTGGTGCTTGTCTATCCAGGATGCTATATAATGTGGACAATACACTGACTGGAGAAAGGAACTATGGGCTCACCATAGCCCGTGCTACTTGGAACTTTGTTCCCGGTAGCGAATCTTTAACAACAACAACACTGAATGAAGACTCCATCAATATAAAGACTTCAATTTGCTTATCTAAATGAATTTTTGGGTTCAGTCCTCGAGTGCATTACATGCCTCTGTAACCTTTTCCACTAGTGCCCACAGGATGGGTAAGGTGTGCATAATAAATGAACTAAAAAAACTAATTTTTATATATCTGTAATCATCTCTCATTATATTATTCAGATGTTTTCTCTGGGTTGATGCTTCCCCGCCCCATGAAAGTGGGAAACAAGGTTATGATAATGAATGGATGGACTAAATACACAATGTTATTGTCTTACTGTACAAGTATTGCTAAAAGTCTTTACCTTTCTCTTAACAACAGTCTATGGCTACTGTTATCAAACTCAAAGAAAAAAGTGAGACAGTACCAATACAATATGTACTGCATAATGAACAAATTTCAAGAAACTTAATTACTAAAAATTATGTCACCCATTTATTAGGTAGTATAAGTTAGACCATTACAGCTATAGAATGTCTCATGAATAGAGCACCACTGAGGCACCCCAGCACTTACCTGCGGCAGCAGCACCTGCTACTTCACAAGACCAGGTCTACACTGCTCATTGCTAATTATACATGTACAGTACTCAACTACAGTATATAATCATAATACAGCATTTCAATATAACTGTTAAGACTATAAATTATTAATTCATTTCATGAACTGTAATCAGTTCATGGCTAAGCACTGTACAATATCATTTACATTTTCAATACAAGTATACCTAAATACTTTATAACTAAATACTGTACGGTATGCAATGGTCCATGTTTTTATTATCCTAAGTTATGCACCCTTATGTTACTTGCTATGCCATAATTGATTTATTTAACCATAAAAAGTAAATATTTCAGAGTGCCTGTTCTCTTTGACCTACAATGATCCCAGTAGCTACTTTTGAATGTGGTTATGATCCACCATATACCAAAAATGGTAATGCCTCTCTAATGTGTCATGCCCAAAGGTCCTTCCCAATACCAGTGGTTCATCTCCTACATGCCCACCCTGTTACTACTACTATGTAGACGAGGAGTCACAATAATGTGGCTGAAATATGTTGACCAAACCACACACTAGAAAGTGAAGAGACGATGACGTTTCGGTCCGTCATAGAACAATCGACTTGAGAATGGTCCAGGACGGACCGAAACGTCGTCGTCCCTTCACTTTCTAGTGTGTGGTCTGGTCAACGCCACTACTACTACTATCCACTGTCACCAGCATTACTGCTACATATAATAATGCACTCCCTGAGCCCTGGGAAAGCCAACTTTCAGTAACTCAGATCAAACTCTTAACTACTAACCAGATGTAACATTAGAGGCAGAATTTGGAGATTTGGTCAGTGCAAGAGAATTTGCCATAGTCGTGGTAGTATTGCTGGTTGCTGTTGCTCCACTAACATTACCATTCATTTTGGTTGTTGACATCTGATGATAAAAAAAATACACAATGTCAATAGGAAACTAGTTTCATAGGAGATCAAGACTAGTTTTGTAAGCAAGACCATCCAACATACTGTACCCGGTGCTGACATACTTCATTTTATGAAGAATTTCCATACACTGATAAATTATTTCAATATAATCCACAGTATCCTCCTTAAAAACGACAAAGTACCTTTTTATGTGTTGGTGGTTTGGTAGCAATAGGCTTTTTGTATGGTACAGTAACAGGTGTGTTGCCTCCTGTGACAAACTTCCCTCCTTTCTTCTTAGCCAAGAGTTCTGGATGAATCTTGGGCAGAACTCCTCCCGAGGCAATGGTGACATTTCGAAGTAGCTGCAACAAGAATGAACAAGCATAGTATGGTTGAACACTAGAAGATGAACATAAATGTCTTTTAAGAATGTAAAGATGAATACTGTATATGGAACAACTGACCTTCACATTTAATAAATCATTTGAGTTGAGCAGAGTACCGGAATCGTGGAGAGTTATATATGTGGTGCTGATCTTTAGAAAGGGGCACAGATCTATGGCACTGACTATCGATCAATTAGCTTAACAAACATCGAGGGAAAACTGATTGAAACAATACCTGAATAAACATTTATTTATTATTTATTTATTTATTTGTTGATACACGTATGGGTCGATCAAGCGCGTGGTTCCTGGTGACACGGGCGACCCCATTTCAGTTAACCTATCGATCGCCCACTTAAGTGACGATCGTGCTTAAATTCTTTGAAAAAAATGCCATTGTTTTTGTGTTTTTTTTCGTTTTTGGACATAATAATTATTATATATCATGCCATGGGTCCCAAGAAAATCAGTGGTAAGGTTCAACCTAAGAACATAGTTGTGACGATGAGAATAGAGGAAAAACAAGAGATCATTCACAGTGAGACAATGTGATGTCTCCCTAAAGACACATGTTGAAATGTAGGGAAAAACAAGTGTCTATAGACAGACTAAGTAAGACAAGCAAGCAGTGAGCCACAACCAGATCCCAGCGCTGTGCCTGCAAAACGTATGAGAGAGTGTAACCTCAGAGAAGTCATCACTGCCTGATGTTACAATGAAAAGGGGACTCCCCTTCCAAACACTAACACCTCTCCTCCTCCTCCCACTCCTCACCGTCTTCCATACGCCAACATGAGTCACCAATAAAGGTAAGCTATAACTTGTACATACTATAGTATAAAATATTTGTGTGTATTACGTATGAAATGTATTTAGAAATTAATATTTTTGAGAGTGTGGAACAAATTAATTCAATTTACATTATTTCTTATGAGAAAATTCATTTTGGGTTGTAAATTCACTTCCGTCTCTGGGAACGGATTAAATTTGATAACCAAGGTACTGTACCACTGTATATAGGATGAGGGGGTTACAGAAAGAAATAAAAATATCACAAGATAAGCTAAGTTTATGGAAAAGACTGGTGGGTAAGGAAGAAACTTAAAATGTACAAATGAAGAAAGCTATAAAAAAAAAAAAAGAGCAACAAATATAAGATAGTGACCAAGAAGACTATCAGTCACTCCCTCACAGGCAGGATAAAAAAAAAAAAGGAAAAGCAAAGAAGTTACAGCAATAGTTTTTGACCAATGTTCACGAGTAATCCCTCGAACATAATAAAGCAAAAGACCTCATTACCTGGTGTAGCTCTTCATCATTGGCAATAGCAAGCAGAATGTGTCTGGGTGTGATGCGTGACTTTTTGTTGTCTCGAGCTGCATTACCTGCCAGCTCAAGGACTTCAGCTGAAATTAATGAGAGATATTATAGACATTAATGTAACAGGAAGATTAATAAATAAGAATTTGGGTAAATTTTCTACACTAATTATTAAAAAATTTAGTCTCTGCCTGATCTACTATACTAGAATGTACAAATGACATCATGGAATTCCTAAAAATCAAAAGTATAACTACTTTACTGTATTCAATGCAAATGTAAAATACATAGTATTTCTAAAGAAACCATAAGACAAGCATTAAGTAATTTACATTAATAAGGTGGCTCATGACTTGCATAAAGAATACATTCCTCGAAAATATACAACCGTTCTTTTCTTTCCCCTTCCTCTCAATAAAACACTTGTCTCAGCACTGTTACTCTGTACACCATAATCCTACCAGTTTACAAACACAAATACAGTAGCTACATTGCTGATAAATTGCACAATGCTTAGCAGGTACCAAGATATATGAATACACTGCGAAAAGTGCATTAATCACAAGACAATTGTGAGGAACCACAAGTCGGTGTGGCATTCGGGGGCGAGAACCAAATCAGTATCTTGTACAAACTTGTGCAAGTGCAAATCCTCACGTTAGTTTAGATTTTTCATTAATTCTTAGACAACAGATTTCATGACTTTTTTGGTTCACCTAAAGTAAATGCACCTCACATTATATGACTTTTCACTACGGAAATTTATGAGAAATGTATTCTGTGTATAAATCCTGTGTATAAATAAACTGCTTGTTAAACGATTTGGCGGGGGTCATATTTTTTGCTAGATCTTTACTAATTATAACTCCCAGACCTTCTTTTGCATTCAAATTTAGCAATTTCACAATTTTCCATTGATATCTGGTAACTAATTTTATAACCTAGGGCACCCCTAGTTCAGTTTAGAGAAATGCATGTGTAGGACCATTCTTCAAACTGCACCCCAAGATGTACATGACAAGACCGAGTAAGTAATTAATAAAGAGACGGTACCAAGCCAAACAAGACCACGTAGGGTAAGTGAATAGCGTTCATCTCCCACTCCCCCCTCCCTATACAATGGCAAAGCAACAGAGCAGAATTATATTAAAAAAATAAATCGATGTACATACAGGTATTATACTGATAGTTATTAAAATAAAGCTCATTTAAAATCTTGAAATGCAGTTGTATTACTGTAGTATTAGTTACTATTTAAGATTTATCTTTTAAAATTCAATCCTGCACACAGTATACTGAACTACGCAATGTAATTAGTTCCCCATTTCTTTTAAATAAGTCCTGGAGCAGTAGCCGGGTGTTAAATATACAGTACATTACTATCTGCATCAAAGAATTTAAACACACATGTGGTGAAGATCAACATTCATCGTAAGTAAGTAATTATCAATAGAAGGCACCAAAAACATTCATCGTAGTTGACAAAATACCACTAAACCATTGCCACATTTGCACTATACCCCATTGATCTGTATCCAATACATTCACAGTCCTTAGGTTAGGCAAGGTTCCTTACGTACACATTTTAACACTTTAATACTTGGTTTAACAAGAAGTTAACTGGTCTAAAGACAAGAATTTTGTTTAATCTTAAAGAGTCCCTTTTCAAGAACTGTTGGATTGTAATGTGTATTTATAGAATTGCCACTTGTAGGAGAAGACGCCTGGCACCAGAACTAGGCACTATCAGCCTTGTCAAGTCTTGTTAACGTTCACTACTAAAGCCACTTGTACAGGTGGCAAGTGCCACTCGTGCTTGTACAGGTGGCAAGTGCCACTCGTGCTTATACAGGTGGCAAGTGCCACTCGTGCTTATACAGGTGGCAAGTGCCACTCGTGCTTATACAGGTGGCAAGTGCCACTCGTGCTTATACAGGTGGCAAGTGCCACCTGTACAAGTGCCACTGGGCACTCTTTAACACTGGCAGCACGCCCCCAACACACACAAACCCGGCCCCCTGCAGCAGCAGCCACACACACACTTGCCACCACCAACTCCCCCCCGTCCCTGAGTGTGTGAGTGAGGAGGAATAAGGACCTGTGAGGTATTCTATGACAGCGGCGGCATAGACGGGCGCCCCGACCCCAATCCTCAGCTTGCGGGTCCCGGGCCCAGCCTTCATGTACCGGTGCAGGCGACCCACAGGGAACAAGACATTGGCTCGCTGCGATTTGCTGATATTCTTCTGCCGCTTCTTGGCTATGCCGCGGGCTGACATTATTCACAACACTCTCTGCAACTCCTCAAAATTCGACAGAATGTAATCGATATTAGCTACTACTATGAGCACCTCCGCTGCTTCTATAAACTCTGGTAGATTCAAGAGATAAATTGAGCTAAATTGTAGGATAGAGGGTCAGATAGGCTTCTATAAGACAAGAGAGCATCAGTACGGTGGATAGGATAGCATTCTTGCGACGCCACCGAGACAATGAACACTCAGTTGTTGAGTCTATAACCAAGCAGACGCCTTCCCTCACCACCTCTAACATGGTGCAACGCGGCAGGTTTGAACCTGAATTGCGTCAGCATGAATTATGTCATCTAAATAAACATAATGACATTTATTTGTATACTAAAAATATGCATTTGTTATATTACAGTGTTGTATATATGCTATAGCATTCCTACATTGGTTATAATGTTATAATTGTTATAAACACGCAAAAGTGGGAAAGTTTTTGGAGTGGGAAAATGTTGTAAGTGGAGTGCTTCAAGGCTCTGTCCTGGGACCTCTGTTGTTTATAATATATATAAATTATTTAGATTCAGGTTTGAGTAGCAACATTTGCAAATTTGCAGATGATACAAAAATTGGTAGGGAAATAAACATGGAAGAAGACTCACTATCACTTCAAGTCGATCTAAATAGGGTTTTGATATAGTCAAAAGATTGGCAGATGCAGTTTAATGTTGATAAATGTAAGGTTTTGTGGCTGGGTAGTGAGTGAGCGGCTGGGCTAATAGGGTATTAAATATATCAACATATAATAGAACACGAAACAACGGGTATAAATTTGATATGTTTTAGATTTCGGAAATACGTCTAGGTTACAGATACAACTGGGAAATTGGTTAACCCCAGATAGAGGTTATCTTGAGATGATTTCGGGTTTTAGTGTCCCCGCGGCCCGGTCCTCAACCAGGCCTCCACCCCCAGGAAGCAGCCCGTGACAACTGACTAACTCCCAGGTACCTATTTACTGCTAGGTAACAGGGGCATCAGATTGAAAGAAACTGTGCTCATTGTTTTGATGATGATGAAGGAATGCATCATCTGTCAATCACAGAAAAAGCCACTACTTCACTATCTCCTGGAATGTCAAGCAAGCAACGACCTTAGCAGAGCTTTAGGAGTCCCTGAATTTTGCAGTAACCACCCTGAAGCCATAAACATTCTTCTGGCTAATAAAAAGTCACCCTAATAAAAGGCCACGTGGTGCTGGACACCCTCATAAATAAACAAATCCACAAGGGCCGTGACGAGGATTCGAACCTGCGTCCGGGAGCATCCCAGACACTGCCTTAATCGACTGAGCTACGACAGGGTAAAAAGGGTTGAAACCGAAGTTCAATTGTTTATTTGATGCATCACGTTAGTGTGATCTCCGTGTGTAACCCTCATAAATACTATCAAGCAGTAGCCACCCCCGCAATAGCAGCCTAGACGATTTAAATGCGACCTCAGCACACAGTATACAGTCACTCCAAAAATAAATCTACCACTTACATGCCAGTACCACCTCTTGGATGGCTTACTCTTCATCAATCAATCAATCAATTTAGGAAAGACTTGGGTAAATACTGGTTTGGTAACAGGGTTGTTAATTTGTGGAACCAATTACCGCGTAACATATAGACGAAGAACTATGTGGTATGTTAAGGTCTCACACCCTTGTCCATTATATTCTTGATTGTCCGTTGATTAGTGTATATAGAAACACTGAGATAAGGACTGTTCCTGAACAAATAGCCTGGATGTGTCACAACGGAAAGGTTGATGATATTCTTGAGAGATATAAGAATTTTGCACCAAGATTGTAATATTTTGTTGAATTATCTGCAGGTGTCTTGCAAATTGTCTATACAGTATACCTAGGTCATAAAAGTATTTGTGTGTACGTCTGATACCATACTCCTTGTGAGGGAGGAAATGTATATTTTTACCTCTCAGAATGTTTGGTAATATGTTTATTTGTGATGTGTGTATATGTATATATTAACACGTTGTACTGAACGGGGTGAGAATAGCTTGAGCTACCTCATCCCTTTGTGTGTATTTTACCTCAATAAACTTATTTCAATTTCAATTTCAATTCAAATATAGACGAAGGATCCCTTGATTGTTTCAAGAGTGGCATTGTTCATTTGTTCATTTCAAGAGTAGGTTAGACATATGAATGAGTTTGGGTGGATAGGAGCTACCACGTATGGGCCAATAGGCTTCTGCAGTTTCATTGATCCTTATGTTCCAAAAAGGCTCAAATGGTAGAGGGAGGATTGGAGACTACTAATCCTTAACTGTAGCCTCTGTTCACCCGTGAATGGGTACCTGGTTATTAAACGATTTGGAGAATATACAAATAAATACAAAATAATAAATACAAAAATAATAAATAAATAAATTCCGGGGAAATTTAGGATTAAGAACTTGCCCGAAACGCTACGCATGCTACTGGCTTTACAAGAATGTGAGAACTCTTGTATAAATAAATAAATAAACAAATAAATAAATAAATAAAATAAATAAATAAATAAATAAGTATAATATTGATCATATAATCATAATAAATAAAATATATAAATAAATAAATACAATAATAATAATAATATAAACATAATAAATAAATAAATAATAAATTATTTGAATTTGATTTGACTTGATAAATACAAATTTGAATTTGGCGGGCGAGAGGAGCGAGAGCGGGCGAGAGAGTGCGAGAAGCAGCGAGACTCGACCTTCCTGGGAGAGTCGTGGTGCTGAACACACCGTCATGGTGAGGCTCCTACATATCTCTCTTTATCCCTCTCATCTCTTAGATTACTCTCAAGTATATTGTCTTAGTAATACTTTGTAAGGCGGTTTACACTTGTAGCAATGTTACTGTAAGGAAAGTGTAAACCAGACGAGGTATTTTACGGAATTACAGTTGTCTCCAGGTTTGCATGGCACAAGTGTAAACAAAGATTAAATGGCTGCAGTGATGCTGGGAAACAATATTTATTCTCTCGGCAACAAGGAAATATTAAGTAATGGTTTCCCTGGTGAAACTTTGCAAGTTTCATTAGGGAATTTTGATATTCTGGGAGAGTCTTGTGTCTGGTATAGGCCTATGGTGTCGTAGGCTGGGCTAAACACGGTGGTGGTGGCAAGATTTCGTCAGTGGTGTTTAAAACCTTCGTAACAGACTACTAGCCTAAGAATACATTATAACAATATTCTGGAGCTGTGACAATCTGAAAGTTTTGTGGCACATCTTTTGTAGGATTTGGTTATACCCCATGCTAGGTAACATGCCGGGCTAGGGTGTGCTGGGGCAGGCTAGGGTGTGTTGGGCCAGGCTAGACTGTGCTGGGCTGGGCCAGCATAATTACAACTATATTAATGGCTACAGTAATGCTGGAAAACACAATATTGGTATAGCTTAGGAATAAAGCTTATGCTTGATGTCTCATTCCTTTCAAGAGCTAATCATATTGGCTTACTGCTTTCCCCTGATAATTACTATACTTTATAAAGACAGTTTGCCAATATATTATAGAAACATGTTTATCCTAATATGGACAATTTTGAACATTAAACTGTCAAAATGCCACGAGTACAATTTAACATTACAGTACATGGCCTTGCATAGCCTCACCCGATCCCACTGAGAACCAATAAATGTAAAACTTGTACCTCCATTACGTTTAAAACATCACACCTTGTGCACATCTAAAACGACAATCTTACTTTCGTTCGGATTTATTAGGTTCTAAGAGAATAGTAAGGATGTTAACATCGAACTCCTCGGGTTCAAGACCCAAGAAAGATCTGGGATTAGACATCAAGGATCTGGGATTAAAGTACCGTGGACACTTTAATTTATTTTCTCTGTAATTGATGTTTTGTAGTGGATGATGAAAACTTTCTATTGTGGTAATAATTTTATTTGATATTTTCTAGGCTGCCCACAAGACTTTCCGCATTAAGACCAAACTTGCTAAGAAAATGAAGCAGAATCGGCCTATTCCACCATGGATCCGAAATTGCACAGGCAACAAAATTAGGTAAGAGTTGCTTAAGGAGAAATTTTTGTAGATGGTTTGTGTTGAATAGTAGAATTAACCATATTGAAATTATAGGCCTATTGATAAATGATGATAAATACCACCTTGATAAATCAGTTGTCAAAATAAGACTATAACAATATATTGGTGTTCACTTGTAGCTATGTTACTCTTGTCTACAATCTTGGAATGGTTGCAAGTTATTGTTTAGGGTATGATACATTATGGAGAACTTTAAATCAATAATGTTGAGGCGCGCCTGACGGTTGGGTGGGCAACACTTCGGATTCGTAGTCCTGAGGTACCGGGTTCGATCCCCGGTGGAGGCGGAGACAAATGGACAAGATGTTTCTTTCACCCTGATGCCCCTGTCACTTAGCAGTAAGTAGGTACCTGGGAGTTACAGTTGCTACGGGCTGCTTCCTGGGGGTGTGTAACAAAAGAAAGAGGCCTGGTCGAGGACCGGGCTGTGGGGACGCCAAGCCTCAATCATCTCAAGATAACCTTAAGATAGGCTAGACAGAGATGCCTAGTACCCTGGCATCTTTGTGCTTTAGATATCTATTGCTATGATACTAGGGTATGCTTCGGAGTGTAACATTAATCATGCTAGGTACAGGATGAAGCTGTGTGCCAGCCTTCATGTGGTTGCTTGACTTCATTTTATGTGTATCTGCACGTGAGAACATTTTCTAAATGCGAGTCGGCTTAGGTGTGAACTCATTGATAGTTATGTTCTGGAGAATGGCACAGCCAAAGTTTGGCTGTTTATGGGCAAGTCCCTTTTTTGCAGTTTCAAGTTTTGATCATCTTACCAAGTTGGCAGACCTTGCATATTGGTCTTTTACATCCTGCAACTGTCAAAAAGTGTGGTGTTGAAGACTGTACATGTCTTTCGCTTTTCTCCACTTTATCCACAATGACTATAAGGAGTCGGCCATCTGGTCGAGTTGTGCATACTGAAGATGGGATTTTCTCTCACCCAAGCACTTTTAGGGAAGGTATGAGATGTGTCTTTGGCTGCCCTTTGGCTTGGTTTTGGCTGCCCTTGCTGAGCTCAGCATGTGGCTGTTCATTATCACTAAGCGAGTCAAAGGCAACTACAGCATACAGGGATTTTAATTGTTTTAAACTCTTCTAGAGTAATTGTATTGTTTAAATGTGCTAATTAGGTTTCCACTTTCAGGTACAATGCAAAGAGGCGCCACTGGAGGAGGACCAAGCTCAAGCTGTAAACGTTCCCTTCGGTTACAGTGTCTCTTCGTAAACATTGCTGCAACCTAGCATGTGTATGGGGAAATAAATGATTGTACTTTAATTTTGTTTACCTATCCAGTTCAATACCTTTATGTAGTACAGAGTTTACATTTGCAGAATTAAAGCTACCACACTTACTTGCTTGCAAACAGAAATTGCGGAGAGGGGGTCAAAGTATCTGGGGTTACATGGGTACTCTTTAACATTTTTATAAAATCGCATAATGGAAAAGCTATTTTTACGAGGTCAACGCTTAAATCCAGGTTAATGGTAAATTTGAGAAGCCTACACACAGAAATCACAATAGCATGATATCAAATGAACAAATCCACAAGGACCGTGATGAGGGTTCGAACCTATGTCTGGGATGATCCCGGATGATGGTTGAGAAGCCTACATTTGTCCCCTAATTCCACTGTAGTCCTATGAAGTGTTCCAAGTACTATACTACAGTCATTGCAACTACTGTATTGGCATCATACCCATCCTATACAGTAGTGCTGTAGCCTTATGGCTATTGTAGTTTGGATGAGGATTGTGTTTTTCTCCAAATGTAGTTTTAAGTTATTTATGAGCATAACCTGTACGTTGAAGTGTTCTATGGCAAAGTATGTTGCTTCGGTGCTTTACAGTATCTTGGTATCACAGTTGTACATTTTTACTTGAGAATTAAATAAAGTTCAGTTAGTAGGACTACTGTACACTATATAGTACTTATATGTATTGTTATAAAGGCAGATATAATCAGGTCAAAGATCCATATGGTGTAGTCACTAAGCAAGAGTATAAAGTTGCACATGAATGTTCGGGAGTAAAAGTTCCTGTAATAAAAATTCAGATTACATAAAAAAGATGTAGTGCTTGGATTCAATGTTTACATTACCAGCATTAGTTTACATCAACTTCGAGTACTGCCTTGATGGGGGACAAGCAGTTGAAGGTGATAACTGGTTACCCCCTCAACCCATAGCAACCAACTTGGTGAGCTGTATTTCAGTAAGCATAAAAATAAAGCTTCATCCAAAAAGACAAACAGTACATTAAAAATATTAATGTGAAGCATAATAATTATGCATCAACAAATCGTCTGCTTCTGCACCGTAATTGTTATTGGCATCACTAACGTCCTGCACGTTAGTTCATTTAGTTATTTGTGAATTTTCATGATTCAAATTTTGAACAAAATGTGTTCATTTAGTCATACTTATTCTAATTACACAAGAAGTGTAGCTGTATCGACTGGGTTTTGAGTAGCTGTCATGTATGTGTCATCACATGGGTCCATTAAGTTACTTCACTGCTAATGGAGCCAAAATGTTGAATATGGAATGATGGGCAAAATTAAAGGTTATAAAATGTTTAGGAAGTAATAATATGAATTCTTTGCAAGATTTAGGTCATATCATTTAGATAACTTTCAAATTTCAGCTAATGTATAGCATAAATCTTCCAATAGAACAAATTTGTATATAAAATTAAATACTTCACTACTGAATAGGCTCAATTTGAACATGCCATTAGAGAGCTTCTCCATTTCCAATCACATCTAATTTTTTTTTTAACATACTGTAGTATGTCTATTAAATGTTTGTCTTATAATCAAGTTTATTTTATAAATAATAAATTCATAGTTATTTACAGTTATAATGTCTATTTTCATGTTTTAAGTGCCATTAAAGTGTGATCATATTCTGGAGTTCTAATAATGGCCATGAATGATTCTTCAGATGTAGATGATGAGTCACATGGCTGAAGATACGATGATCAAACCACACATCAGAAGACGGAGAAACGACAACGTTTTTGTCTGTTCTGGCCCATTATCAACTCGTGTGCGCCACGACTTGGTAATGGTCCACAGCGGACCAAAAGTTAGTCTTTTTCTGATGTGAGATTTGGTCATCATGACTTGTCAGGCTGTTGCTTCCTGCTGGTATTTTTCCCATATCATTTACTGCACCGAGAATTTTGTTTCATTAATTTTTTCTTATGCATTTTAACTATACCAAAATTAGTTTTTTTGCTTAGTTGCTTGATATTTTTTCCTTATTAGTCAACCAATTTAACAAAGACAATATTTTATCCCCCGTCCTCATTTTAAAATGTTAACTTATTGGTAATTGTTTTTGGTGTAAAGAAATTATAAATAACAAATTCACTTTTTATTTAGATTTTTTTTAAATTGATGCTTAAATTCTCTCTCAACATCCTGACTATGATGTAAGCTTACATCGATACATCGAATACCAAGCTTAATAAGCATTCTTTCCAGTTTACAATACCATAATTATACCAACTATAGATGTCAAGTTGATCTATGTTTACTATATATATATATATTACATATATAATATATATATATACATATATACACAACCATATATACACTGTATATGCAATCTTTTAATGCACTACAGCAAAGTTACCGGTATGCAAGTTGTACAAAATTAATTTTTTAATAATGACTATAATGTTAAATTGCCACATCTCTGCATCATTATTTTTGATAATTAATCACTACACCTTATACCATGAGAAACTGGAAACTATCAGCTAAACCAATCAACACTGAAGTACATCAAACATATCTAGATGACAAACTGTTATACAAAATTCACACCATGCACGCAGTCATAACTTCATTATTCCATTGACTTAAGTCTTAACAATTGTTTAATTTGAAGATACTTTATAAATTAATGTCTTTGATTTGCAAAATAGTATCCAATAATGTGTATTTTAATGCTTATGCAGCTGGCTTCATTTTTATCTTGACTTGCAACTAACAAGAACATATCTAATCTCAAGCAGAAGTCTTGCCATTAATGCCATACCAGGGAGAGAAGCTAAAATGCAGGTGCCAGTATATCTCGCCAGCTCAATTAATTTGGATGATCTGCCACCACACAGTCACTTACCTTAATTTATAATATACTACAGTACTTTACATGTACATTAAAATGATCAATCAATGTTAATAAAGCTCTAAAAATCATTTGTGGGCTGGTGGGGCATTTTCTAGAACCCATGAACTGCGGTGGGGTTCTTCCCGCACGTCGTCACTAGCCGAGGGACCGAGACGTGACGATGCCTCGTCCAAAGGTTGGGCACTGAGGTCTTGATTGGAGGGTAAGAAGTCTTCTGGGGAGTATGGGGTGTCACGCAAAGGTGCATAACCCGGTGTGAGGTCCTCTGGAGACGACTGATCAGAGGAAGAATCGTGGAGGAGGGACAACGTGTGGGGAGGTTGAAGCTGCCTGGTTCCTGAATGTAGTGTGTCTAATTCTAATCCTGTCAAAGACTCTGTAATACCAGAATACTCATCTTCGCCGAGGTCCTGCTGTTCGGGCATGGAATGTGTGGCTGTTGTCTCAGCCGTGTGCTGAGCAGCCCTTACATAACTCTGTAAAAATGTTGGCCATGACTGGATGGAAGCAGTTAGGGACATGGGTGGATCTACAACAGGAGTGTTGAGTGGGGTGCATATGGAAGTTGAAGCTTCTGCTAGTTCTTCGTCCAGCATTAATCCTGCGATAGCTTCATCACTGAGCATTTCAATGCTGAAAAACATTTTAAAATGAGCTATTATCAAGAAACATTAACTACCCATAAGTGCAAATATTTCAAGTTTATACTGTGCATGTGTGCTTATCTAGTATTCCAATATTTAGTTCAGTTGTTGAGTAGTATTACACAGCTTTGATTACAGTAACAATACTAATGATTTTTGAGAGAATTAATGCAATGGTGGTAATATACATTACAACACTAGAGAAACAGCTCAAATTATGATCATATTAATAAATAATACAACTAAATGTACAAAAATTATTAGTTATATGGAAAAAAGATACAAAAGTCATGATTATTTATGATAAATTGTGATTGGTAACATTACCAATCAACCCAATAAATTTCATGTCAAAAGCCAAATATTATAATTTGTAAGGTACGTAGACGGTAATGTTAAATGTCATCTATATTGAATGTGTAGAATATCCTTACCTGGCCAAACTCTCTGTATCAGACACGATGGAGTCCCGGTCCTCTACGGTGAGATACTGTGTTGCTGGTGATAATGCTGGGCTGCCCAGACCAATAACCTGTATTACAAGAAATATACACTACTGTTTCTGCTTAGTAATAAATAAGACGAATCATCAGATTCTATGTAAATATTGTATGGGTTAAAACTATTACTGTGCATTAAAACTTTAATGTGGATTTATGATTGTATTGTTGATCCAAAGAGGAAAATATATTTTTGGAAATGAATGTATTAACACAAAGCTTGATCCTTTCAAGCAACTATATATTGACAATAAATGTACTGTGTACTCATGACCAGGCCGACACCAGTGCGCAAGTCCATAGTCTCATGAGACTGATGGATGCCTACTACTACTACTACTACTCATGCTCAGAAAACTCATTCCTTCAGAATGTTGGGTGACCTGCAAGATATTACATCCATTGTATAACAGCATGGGAAAATGTATAGGTCTGGGTTTAAAAAGAGAGAGACTATGACTAGCTTTAATTTTGAGAGTGAAGGATTTGCTCAGTCAGATCTGAATAATACTGGGTTCGGTTAATAAGGTTTGTAGATTTGTGGAACAAATTGCCAGGTAATGTAATGAAAGTTGGGTAACTGGACTGTTTTAATCACAGGTTCAGATATGAACAGCAGCTACCTAGTATGAACCAAAAAAACAACTAATTCTTAGGTTTTACACAGTTAAATTCAACAATATCTCCAGATATATATATCCCGACAAACAACAGAAAATTTACAGTTAACAAATCATAATTCAGACGAACCAAAATACACACCTGCCAACCTGTTAGGTCTGTGTACGTAGCTGTCCCATCACCGTCATCCACCAGAACCTCTCCTCCATCCAGCACCAAGCTCCTGTCCTCCCTAGGCTCCAGTACCAAGCTCCTGTCCTCCCCTCCATCCAGCACCAAGTTTCTAGCCTCTCCTCCATCCAGCACCATGCTCCTGTCCTCCCTAGGCTCCAGCACCAGGCTCCTGTCCTCCCTAGGCTCCAGCTCCAGGCTCCTGTCCTCCCTAGGCTCCAGTTCCAGCTTGCTGTTTCCCCTGGGTTCCATTACCAAGCTGGCATTTTCCTCTCTAGCCACTTCACAGTGGGTCATAGCAAGAGCAGCAGCAGTGGCTCGGGAGGTAGCTGTAGTGGAAGATGTAGCTGCTGCCATACTGGAGGTTACAGAGACAGTGGTTGAGGATGCCACTGCAGTCTGCTGTTGAATGATAACAAAACTATATAAATACAGCACACAAAAGAAAACAAGAAGAAATTATTATGTAATACCCAAGAGGTATAATTCTAATACAGCTAATTTCATCATTCAAAATAAAATGTGGCAAGACTAAGATAATATGAACGATACACAAATAGGAGGCCATTATGAAAATCTCAAATGACAGCACTAAATATTAAATTCAGATGTGTACATAAAATGCACACTGTATTCATATGTATACAATACATACTGTACTTGTACACACAGCCGCACCTCCAAAAATCACCATCATATCATTCTGGACCCAATCCAAACTTGTGTAGAACTTCCCTCTTTCGGTTTTGTATTTAGTGCCAAATTTTCTATATCATGTAAAACTCAAAATGAAAATGAACCACAGAAAAGTATAGGCAAGGCATCTTCACTTCCTCAGAAAATAGGTTTACCAGAGCCTGTACCAAGCCCAAGAGTGTGAACGACACTGCATCATATTTCCCTAACACGGTTTCAGCCTAACACCTGGAGGAAGGGCTGAAAGAACATACATACATCCTCTAATACCTGTTGCACCTCTCTTCAGAGAGAGAGAGAGAGAGAGAGAAATAATGTCTGAGAAGAGCAATGGCAAAAGGTAGACCCTTAAAACTGACAGCACAGCATGCCTGAACCAAGAAGTGTAGTAAAGTCAGCAACCGAATCTCATTGGATCAGCACAAACACCTTGGGATAGTGTGTTAGTTGTTGCAGACACTGACAAAAAAAAGGTAGGTGAGGTGCTTAAATCCTCCTGTTGCACCTACTCTGCCTGAATCTGGGAGATGAGCTCTTGGCAGGCAAGAAATCTTTTTAACATCAGCCAGGCAGGTGCATGCCCTACAGTCAGATGCAATAAAAGGGGCAAAATAGTTATGGAACTGCAAGAAATCTCTTTTGGAACAAAATAAGAACATAAGCCCCATTAATGGAATCCAATTTTCCCAAAAATGCCACATTGAAGATGAAGAATCCTTTTTCCATTCTAGCAGAGAGGTACCACAGCTCAAATGCCACTTTCTCACATAAAATAAGAGATTGCATTCCAGTCAGGAAAACTGGGAACATGATACAGTACTGAAGACAAATTAGACGAACTAAACTCAAGAAGAGCAGTGTCATTTTGTGATACAATGTTCCTGTTCCCCATTAGTGACAACAACAACTTCTAGGCAGCACCTCAAGGTGAAATTGAGGAAACCCGTGAAGTACAAAATCGATGGCATCCTATATAAGCACAATGAACCAAACCCAAGGTGGAAAGGTTCATGCTTGAACTGCACAACGGGATGAAGGGGGTTCTTCATTTTTCCAACCTGAGGATAAGTGCCATCCAGCCTGGAAACCAAAATCCAGAAAGGGCCAAATTGGACCCAAGCTGCTGTTCCTCTCAACCCCTCCAACTGGACCACCACATCATTGAATGATGGTTTAATATCATCAGTATTCCTACTCGGTTATGAGTTATGTGAACCTAACATTAACTTCAGTAAACAAGTAACAATGAAAAATATTAATCTAGTTACAATAAATATCGTTATAAAATGCGATTCTTTAAAAACAAGAGAATGCAATGACAAACCTATGAAAGGTACAATACATTTACATTATTGAGATTCAGGCTATCAAGACCACTATTTCAATGGACAATGCACTTTAGAACAGAACAACCTAACAACCTAATCTACAAGTTTCCCACTGGTGGGGTTACCTGTGTCTTTCGTAGTCCTATAAACATAATATTGTAATTTAAAGTTAGATTTGGTCGAGCAAGTATAAATCCTTAGATGTATGTAAGTGAAGAGAGGAATGTGTTGAGGCCCCAGATCAATATTATGTACAAGATGGTACCAAATGCTTCTAATTTACCAAATAAGTGTAATGTAATATCTTCCATTCATTAATGCTTAAATTAATTACCATTTAATAACAACCGTACTGTAATATGCAACTAAAAGTTAATGTGTTTCTACTGTTGAGCTGAACTTGACTTACCCAAAAGTGTGTGTAATATGGGCCTTGATCAGGTCTGATGCACCAGTCTCCTCTCAAGTCCTGCCACCAACACTTTCCTATCTTCCAGATTGAGTACATTTAATAAGCTTCCAACTTACTACACTCTCAAGATATAAATGTAATTGTAACAAGTTCTCTTTCTCCATATTTAATTTAGGTTTATTGCTAAACAATAAACACATTCAATTTCTCCATCAATCCTCCTATTTTCATGATGTAATATAGATTTTTCATTTCCAATCATCATCCTTACAATAAATGTTTATCCAACACTCAGGAGGCTAATCCATAAATAAAATAATAATTTTGTTTCATGTATGTTATAGAATATTCAATTACTGTATACTGTGCAGTATTATGATTATGTGAATTATATAATAGAAAAATTTGTCCCATGATGACAAGGAACTTGCAATTAAACTTGTGACAGAGCTGGGGAAGACATTGGAGAATTACAGCCATCTCCAGCATATCAACTGCCTGTTAACTACTAGTTAGTGAACTACTTGTCATTTAGCCACCATCAGCTAGAAGAACTAACTACAATACAGGGTTGGAGGAGCCGACAGCCCTCACTTTCTACCTGGTGATCATTCATTAAGTGCAAAGCTCTGTAGGGGTAAATTCAGTTATGCTGACTAGTTAGACTTTAAGAATTGTCTTAGAGACAAGTCACTGTTTTTGTTGCTCCTAATTACAGTATTTGCACACAGAGATCACACTAACGTGATGCATCAAATGAACAAATCCACAAGGGCCGTGACGAGGATTTGAACCTGCGTCCGGTAGCATCCCAGACGCTGCCTTAATCGACTGAGCTACGACTCGGTCCCGGATGCAGGTTCAAACCCTTGTCACGGCCCTTGTGGATTTGTTCACAGTATTTGCATTTCTCACCATGGCTTACTGCTTCAGCTTTGTTTCCAAGGGTGTCTGGCACTGATTTATCGAAGATTGAGGGGCCAAACGGTATCTCCTCTGGTGCTATTGGGGGATATTTGTATGTATGAACCGAGTGTAATTATAGGATGAGAGCTAGGCTCGTGATGTCCCATCTTTATAATCTTTGTCACATGATGCTTTGAAACTGCTGATGGTTTTGGCATCCTTCGTTACCTCACTTAAATTGTTCCAACCAACCCAACCTCTGTTCGCAAAAACAAGAGCTGTCATATATTTTTCATGCACCTTTGAATCCTTAACTTGAATCTAAGACCATGTTCTTAAAGTTGCAGGTTTAAACAAAATTATAAGTCAATTGTAGTGTCCTGTCATTATTTTGTATGTGATCATATAATTTCTTTTATTGTCTAGTTTTGTCATGATTAATGCCTTAAGTATCTCCTCAATTTTGTTTTTTAGGTCCAGAATTGGTATGAATTGAATTGGCTACCAATGCCAATTGGTAGCATATCTTTGAACTTTTTCTATTTTCTATGTGTTTTATTATAATAATGCATTGTGTCGGGGGACAGACAGCCCAAGTGTATTTGTACAGGTTAGGCTTATATTGAGGTCCCCCCATCCCCCTCAGTTGAATTACTGACCCCACCCATGATGTTAACTCCCGAGTACTTGCTTACTGTTAAGTGAACAGGGCATTAGGCGATAGAAAAATGCACCCAACCATTTCTGTCCCACCCGGGATTCGAACCCGGAATTCTCTATTGAGAATCGAGAATGACTCTTTGGAATAGGGACACCATATAACTGCTGCATACTTCAATTTCTCTCATTCTCTCTCTCTCTCTCATTCTCACTCTCTCTCTCTCTCTCTCTCCCTCTCATTCTCTCTCTCTTTCTCGCTTTCTCATTCTCTCTCTCTCTCTCGCTTTCTCATTCTCTCTCTCTCTCTCGCTTTCTCATTCTCTCTCTCGCTTTCTCATTCTCTCTCTCTCTCTCTCTCTCTTGCTCTCTTTCTCATTAGTTTGAGTGAATACACATATACCTGTGTGTGTGGGGGCAGGGGGCAAGACTAATTGGAAAGTTCCTTATCATGGTTGAATGGAAATTGCCTAGAGCCTGGCATGTGATCATTGTTTTGAAAGAGCTGTGGCTGCTGGTTTTAGGGAGCAGCCAAATGACCTTCAGAAGTTTTTCATATTCAATACTCAAAGACCTATTTTTCCTTGCCCATTTTATATGAAATGCAATTGAATAGAAGAACAAAATAATCCTTTTGTTAATTCTAAAGCAAATCTTGGGTGGAAATTATATTTGTACTGCAGAAAGAACCTCTAATGGCTGCCACAAATTTAGCTTGCACAATTTGATATTTTTGGTGAAAATTTGTATCCACTGTAGAGACTGTTGGCGTTTAGTTTGCATCTATAAATTAGACAAGCAACTCTAAATGCCAGTATCTCACCACAGTTGCCATAATGGGTGCTGCCACCGGTCCCAGTTTTCCCGGTAATGATTTAAACTCCTGAGTATTGGCCTCTATACTTGATTCTGCATAGTGGAGGGGGTGCGTTGCAAGCTGGTGTCCCCCATCTATAGTTTGGAGCGGAGGTAAAGGAGACTCCGCCCCAACCCCAATGCCCCGCACACCCAGGTCTAGCTGAGACTGACGATTCTGAAAATAAATACAGTATTGTACTTAATTGTCTCTTATAATTATAATTTATTGAGAGGGGGGGGGATTAATTTGTCATCAGCTAGCTTTGGAATCTGAGCTCGTACTGCTTAAAGCATTCTACTGTACTTTCCTAAGCACAGAGCTCATGATAGGCCTTCCAAATACACATTGCTCCTTATTTTTCACAAGAGTTTAGCCCCAAATTAACCAATAAGAACTACAGAAAGAAAATAGAATACAAAAATTCAACCCTTTTGATTGTTACAATTTAAACGTGAAATGTACAGTGGTGCCTTGTTTAACGAATTTAATCCATTCCGGCCGAGCACGTCATGTACTCGTCATGTGAAACGCTCGTCTTGCGAAACAACAACACAGTCGTCGGAGGCGTCCGAGAACTGGCGGGAACGCTAGGAAGCCCCATGTGGTTTGCTCGTTAATTGAGCAAAAGCTCATCAATCGAGACGAATTTTCTGTGAGTGGTTCGCTTGTTACTCGAAATGCTCGTAACTGGAGTCGCTTGTCACTCGAGGTTCCACTGTACATATAAAAAAAAAAATACTTAGACTATAAAATTTAATTTATAAATGTAGAAAGGAAAAGGAAAAAATATATAGCTCCAACTGCAACTTAACATGTCAAATGTTCTGTAGAGTTAAGCACAAAGTAACTACAGGACGTTTGATAATGGCTTAGTCACTGGTCTTCTAGTTTGCAATCTACTTCATAGTGTATATTGGGTAACTCAGTTTACACCACAGCATTTACAATACAGGTACAATATATGGCATTATTTACCTTAAAATTCTTGACTATATACAGTACAGAAGTACTGTGTATAGGTTTCTTTTGAAAGTTGCCTTAGTCCTAGACCAGCCACCCATGTGTTACATTACATCACAAGGCTTGCACAACTTTTACATCCAGACCTGCGTGGTCATCCAGGCCTGTGTGACCATCTAGACCTATATATCAAACGCACTCGTCTGACTACCAGCTTACTCTTCGGCACATCCTACCATTCTCATGAGACAATATCCAGCACACACCTCTCCTACCTACACTACTCCAGCCCTCTGCATAACAGACAACTTTACCTTATCCTACTTGGTTATATATACTCTATCTTCAGCAAACTTAAATTCACTTTCCCTCTGCAGATGTTGAGAGCTTCAATGAAACATTCACCATCCAGCCAAATTGTAAAACAAATTTTGGAGTTAATTTTCAACTTCCATCCCAAGTGAAGATAATCATAAGAAATATAGATTTATGCTAAAATTAGCGATCTAATCATTTCAGTCACATTTAATGACTGAATTATACAATCAAGAAAATGCATTAGATTAATGTAAGAAACAACTTGCAGTGGCAGAACACCTGTAAACTTACACGGTGAATCTCATCAGAGATGGTCTCCAAGTTGGAGAGAGCTTGAGCATACGTCACCTTGGCTCTAGCAACGCTCTCCTCTAGCTGCCGAACTTGTTGCTTTTGGGCCTCGAGCTGTTGGTTGACTGCCGATTTAAGCTCAAAATACGGCCTGTTGGAAATACCCAAACACTTAATGAAAAGAGCAAACCTGAAATCTAAGATTTCTTAATTTGAGCATTTGAGCATAGGGATATTAATGCAAATACATAGTGATAGAGCAAGTAAAGTTGTCAACATTTTATTGCAAGAATACATTAATCAGGCCAGACCAACTTTACTAGCAGAGATATTAAGTGACAGAACTCTCTCTTTACACCTACAGTGTATGACTAGCTGACCATATAACTCCAAAGAATGAAGAGGCACAATACTAGGGCCTGCCAAGACTTTGATCACCACTCTAAACAACCGTGAGGTCCATAACTTCCACCACTACAATCCCATCCTCAATAACTATGGAACATATAAACTATCTTAAGAAAATTTAATCATCACTTGATAACAAAAAACATTATTCCACATATAAATTAGTGTATATTACCACAATTAATGCACAAATTTTATCATAATACTTTATAAAAAATACAGAGGATCAGATTATAAGATACAGTACTGTATTTTATTTTTATCAAACAATGAAGTAATTTGTTGCAATTCAAAGCCTCAATTAACTAACCAGTCAACTGGATTATCTTAAACATTTGTCAAGAGGCAATAATACACCAAGAACCTTGTAGAGCTGAGGGTAAAGTGAAATCTACACTAGTATAATTATTATACTATTATACTAACGTGCAAGAAGAGCCACACATCTATAGATCATCCAATAAAATCAGCCGACTCCTAGAGGGTTACTACTGCTCAGCTTAGACTCGGCTATAAGTATCTCTGGGAAGTTGTATCATCTGCTGATATGTAGCCAAATGTAAACTGTGTAGCAAAACAATTCGCACACCATTATTTTTTTTTCCACACAAGTGGGTACAAAAAGGCCAAGAGCTTTCCCTACCCATGGCTCATGGTAAGCTTTACCGCCAAGTTTCCCAGCAACACCACCCCCCAATTGTTTAACATCCAAGTACCCTGTCATTGCTGGATGAAAAGAGGAATACAGTTAAGGATTAGCACCTAGTCAATCCTCCCCAGCCTGAACACGAACCTAGGCCAAATTGCTCGCAAAGTGTGGGGCGAGTGTGTTGCTATGGAGACAGTCACTATGTGATGAAGTGTAATAAGATACTTGAATTTAGAGAAGCTCTATAACAAATGGTCATATAATGTCTAAATATTTCATTCATGATTCTCTACTACCAGAAATTTTAGCCAAATATCATTAGTTTGCTAACTGTAGGTAGTAAATATGGGTAATTAACCATTCCACCGCTGCCCACTGGACGAGGGGTGCTGTGCACGATAAACATATCAATTATGACACTAGCTCATCCCATATGCAAGTTGCTTAGCTTAAAAGACAGTATGTGTGGTTGGTATCTAACTCTCTATTGATATAATACTATACATTCAATTTTGTAAGTACCAAATCAAGACTATCTTGCTTGGCTAAATGAATTCTAAGGTTCAGTCCCTGAGCCCATTATGTGCCTCTAACCATTTCCACTGCCACCCACAGGATGGGTATGGGGGTGCACATAAATGAACTAAATGAAAAATGTAGAAGTTTATCAAGCCTCAGTAGGTTTCACCATTAATGCAACCTTTAAATATCACTGGCAACTCAATTCAGTCTTCATAACAATCCTGGATCCTACAGTACAACATTAACTACATACTCCCTCCTTACTATAATGTAAGTACAGTACACTATAATATAAATATACTTACATTATAGCATATTAAAAAAGTTCCTTCATTTTGCAAATTCACAGAGACCTGCTGAGACCTGCGATCAAAAATAAGCTGAAAAACTTAGCCACACTGAACACTGCCTAAGCTTAACTAGTTGGTGTTGAGACTCATGTAAAGCTTGCAAGCAAAGGGCTAAGCTACAACAAAACACTTCAAAGCATGATGATAAAACTGCAAGTCATCCAACAAACTTGAGAGCAAACAGAAATTCACGGTTACTTGAAAACTCACTCCTATATATTAGTTTACAAAAATATCTTTAGGAGAAATGTAAAAGAATATTCATGATTTTTAATACCTAATAAGCACTCTTAACTACTATACAGTGAAAAGTATAATTTAAAAAGTGCAATATAGTGAAAAAGGATTTTTAAAAAAGTGCTACACAGTGAAAAAATTGTAATTTAAAAAGTGTGCTAACAGTACAAAACATGGCAATCAAAAAATAAAATAAAATATCTACTTTAAATACAAAACAGTACTATGCAACATATGAAATCTTTATATAAACAAAAGTAGCCAAGCCAGGGCCAAACAGAGGCAGCTCCTCCAATTCGTATAATGCAGGCATATTCTCTCTCACAACATTCAAGCATATTCATTTACTTGGCTTTCACCAGCATTGGTATTACTTGAACTACATATATTTGTTATTTAAAATGCATAGAAGACAAGTGTTGCATACTGCTAAGTGTTTACTTAAATCTTCATGATGACGAGATCTTGTACAATTTATGGCACGACTATGGGTGCGTCTTTTCATAATTGGTTTATCTTTTATAAATGAAATTATAATTTAGGAAAAATTATAAATATAGGAAAAAAATATAACATTTATAGTCTGTATTGTTTGCAACCCAAGCATAATTTGTACAGTATTTGCTAGTAAAGTAAGCCTCTTGTTGTGATGTGTTAGACCTGCATGGAGAGCTAAGCCAGGGTGTGGCCCTGGTGTTGCTAGCTGGTTGAGGACCTACTTGCAGCAGCTGGTGAGGACCTACTTACAGCAGCTGCAGCTGGTGCATCCTCACAAGGTTATTCATTTGCAACAGGCTGCGACGTGCATTCAAACTTGGGAGAGAAACAAAAACGGGAAGAATAACCAGCAGTCAAGATGCAGGCAGTAAAGTTCTCACCTACAATGCCAAGAATAAAGCTTTTAATGAAAATTATGGCTAAGATGTAATAAAAAAAAAGAACATCAAAACTTAAGGTTGATCTGGCAGTTTCTTTGCCGGTCAACACACAACTTACTTGACACAGTAACACAAGAAAGGAAAACAGCTCACCACTTATTAAACATTCCATCTACCAAAACATTCCAATAGAAAATTCCTCATATTTAAGGACTGAGTATTTTAGCATAAGACTGCAAAGTGCCTAATAAACAGTTACTTTAATAACTAGGTATGAAACAACATTCACTAGTAATTAAAGTAAAGCACACATTTACATAAAAAATGCCTATTGGAAATAAAAATTATAAGGGGGAAATAAAAAATTATAAGGGGGTAAAATTATAAGGGGAAATAAAGATGCCAAACTATAATAGCACTAATAGTACAGGCTTTATTATCTACCACTCTCCACCTATCTACTGTACTCTGTATTCTTTTTTTTTTTAATAGAGTATTTTCATGCAGCTTTGATATATTTCTGTACAAGCCTTCATTTCAATAAACTATTTCTCCATTTGTGCAAACACCTGAATCTCAGAAGGGCATTGAAATCATACGTCAAGCTTCATGAACTTGCTCCTCTATATAGAAGCACTCTGCTTGCCCAATACCTGAAAACCTCTTGAGAGGATGGCTGACGGTAAACTCTTCCACAATCATTTCCAACGCCTAACACTCTTGATACCTTGAAGTATTATGATAGTGTGTGTGTGTGTGTGTGTGTGTGTGTGTGTTAAATTCTAGACGATGGGTTGGTGAATATAAGTAAAGCAGTTTCTACTTGTTTTTGCTGAAGTAAAATTTACAGAAATACAATTTTGCTTGGAAAGAAGTACATTAGTTAATTTCATTTATTGTCACATTTGGCCAATTTTTTTTTTTAATTTTTGATCAGTATAGTACAGTGTAAACAGCTGAGAGAACTTGTCTACATTCAAGGGAATGAGTAGAACTTTAGTCATGAAGGGGCCATCTTAATAAAATAAAATGAAAATAAATAAAAAGAGTCACCATTTAAAAAGCTAATACTGTACAGTACTTAAGAGATTAATAAAGCAATTTACCAAAATTTCTATTTCACGAAGAGAAGGGTTTATGAAAGATGGAAGAGATGCATGGACAAGAAGGATGAGCTGGAGGATGCGATGGATGACCAAATAGATTGACAGAGAAGTGTGCTGTGGGATTCCTATGCAAATTAGAAACCAGTAATAAACAAAACCAATAATTTACTTTCAAAACTCGCTTCCATTTATGGAAAACATTTTGCAAGTAAATGTTTGGAAACTGTAGTCTATGTGCATTGCTGCTCTTAACATTTTAGAACATGTTTTACGTAATTATCAGACACTCAAGTCAGTGTATCACATTCCTATAGTTGGACAAGTGCATCGTGGCTAGCCTAACAGCTGTGCTAAAGGGCACGTGCACTCTATCATGATAAATAACCTATACAAACATAATGCACTGTATATATACAGAGCATTGTAATAAAGGTTGTATCTGGAGATGTACAAATAATAAAGAAACAACCGTACCTTTCATTCCCTTATTATTCCAAGCCAAGGAACTAAGTTATCTAAAAAAAACTCTGGTTTCTGCTATATTAATAGGATATGGTAAAGACTGGAGGTAGAGATAATCAAAGGTGTATTACAAATACCGTACGTGCATGTTCAAAAATTCTGATCCCATCTTTCCAGCATTCCAAATAGCTGTCCCTTTTTGGCCTACTTTTCACCAGCTTTTACTTATATCTACTGATATGATACAGTACATATTTGACCATAATCAGACAAATGAGTAATATATAAAATGATTGTATCCATATAAACAATCATTATACATGAAAACAACAGTAAATATCTTTTAACTTACCTGTTTGTAGCACAAACTGGTCTTGATAGCCCAGAGGCAGCAAAATGCAGGTATAGTACTATATTATGCTGTCTGTTAAACTTGTGCAGTCACCCTCAACTGGGTTTGAAGTCATGCTCAGGTTAGAGTCACTCTTTCACCTACATACTGTATCCCTGCACACCAGTAGCCAGCCCAAGCTACAATGCTGTGCTAGTCATTAGTAGACTGAGGGGTTTTAAAATACAGCTGGAAAAGATCATCAGGGGGGGGGGGGGACCTTTGACAAGCCGCCAGCTTCCTGTTCTCATCGAGGACACTAATATTAGTGGACCTCAGGTAAATTCAGGTTAATAGAGCCTAATCCAAATCCTCATGCTTAAGGTTTAATTTTGTCACTCCTCTTTCCATCACTGCGCTCCATTCTGCTAACAACCTATACAATCTGCTACTTTTGTCTTCTTGTCATAGGAACAGCAGCTATTACACTATGATAAGCATTACCACTGCCAGCCACTTTCTTCCCCAGCCATAATTGTGCTTCTCTAATAACTCAGCTTCCTTATTTATTGTAACAAAGTTTCTCTTACCCTTGCCTAATACACGCATATTGCACAAAGAAAACACACGGTCATTATGCATATCCTCACGGTAGGTTTAAATGAAGCAGAAAATCACGAACTTGCTTGTACAATTTAGTACGGTATAAGGATGGTAAATCATAAAAGCATTCTTTTAAATAATAATTACAAATAAATTGTATTCTGTACTGGGAAGATGGGATTCCTCGAGCATAGCTCTCATCTTGTAACTACTGTACACTAATTACATTCAATTATTTAGATAAATACATTGATGTGGTAGAAGACTTGCAAGTTCAACTTTAATTATCTTTATGTTTGATGCTTCACTTATTTGCTTACAAAATGTAATGTTGCTGTTTAATAACCACTTATGTACACGTGACAAAAACAGTGAGTTCTGTATATAGCCCTAAATGTAGTATGTGCACCTATCTTGTTTGTAAACATATCCCTGGCACAGCTGAGAGGAAGTGTTGTGCAACACGCACACCTTTGCTGTTGTATTCTACTTGGAAATACCCTCCATCCATAAATTCACACACCAGCAGTAAAACAAATTCGCCAATTTCATTGAGGGTTAAAAGAGCAAATAAAGCAGAAAAGGAAAAAAAATATATGACCTGCTGGAAATTACATTATGTGACAAACTAATAATGATAGATTTAAAATGCTGACCTTCCAGAATAAATTTTTCCGACGGATCCAAATTTCAGAAGGAAGATTTGTTCTATTATATAGAGTACAGTACTGTATTTCACTATACGAAGACCCTGATTTGGTGAGGCAACTGAATAATGATTTATAATCAGTATTAGGCTATTATTATTTGTTTTTATTATTACTTTTTAATTATTACTTTTTCCTTTTGTAAATGAATAACGTACATTATTTTTTCAACTACTGCATTAGCGAATAAAGTTGATAACAGTATTTCAATTGTTTTTATTTCGCAAATGTCATCAATTAAACTACCTACAAGTCTCCTTCATTCTTACTTTCATCGTCATACAAATGGATGAGCAAAACAAACTGCAACTTTTATCCTTACACTAACACACACACACAAGCAAAATGAACTACACTACTACTAGGGAAGAAGTCATTCACTGTTCCATACAACTCTTTCTTAACAAGCTACTCATTCCTTACGTCTCTCATTTTATTTCACTTCTGCTCCTATATTTACTCCAATGAACAAATCCACAAGGGCCATGACGAGGATTCGAACCTACGTCCGAGAGCATCCCAGACGCTGCCTTAATAAGGATTAGGTTCGAATCCTCGTCAAGGCCCTTGTGGATTTGTTCATTTGATGCATCACGCTATTGTGATTTTTGTGTGTAATATTTACTCCATTCTGCTCTTCGTTTTGATTAACTATCACTATTGTACTTTCTACTCCTTTTCTCAATCAATTATTCGTTTAACATTTCACATGACGGTATGAGCCTGCCTGTGTTGTCTTGGGCTCTAGTAGAACGCCGATTCAAGATCCAAGGAAAATTGTAAATTGATCCAAGGTAAATTGCAATATCAATTTAACATCTAGTACATCTAATTCACAATGTACTTGTCTAATTCTCAATTCGCAAACTTTTAAACATTTCTAAAAGGCATCTATACCTATATTTACACTTACTGATGACAGGGACAAATCTTTAATTTGAGCAGGACTCTTTTTTTTATTATACGGTATGCAGAAAAAAGTGCAAAAACGAAAGATTAGGTGCATGGGTAACTCCAATAATGGCTGTATGCAAAATTTTCAGTTAAAGGATAAGCTATACCTGTACTTATTCAATAGGTACAGTAACTCAAGCCATTGAAAAAATAATCACAGTACAGGTAATCTCTTATTATCGGAATGACCCAATTTCATTTGAGAATACTAAAGTGTTGTGCTTTCTTCTCTAAGTTTGGTTGATAAATTACACAAACATGCTTAACATTCAACCATTTCACTCTGACAAATGAGAAACCAGAGATGTCCATTCTAATACTAGAGTGAAATGAAGTGTAAAAAGTATCTAAAGGAATATACAGTACCACAATGGATAATGACATGCAAAGGGAATATGTATTTTTACCTGGACTTTGCAATGGCTCTCTTCAACTCTTTTTGTAGAGCTTTGACTCTGGTCTCGGCCTCATGGTAGAGTGCCGACGTACGACGATGCTCAGCTGCACTCTCAATTTTTTCACGTTCCGCATCATTAACCTAAACAAGTGGTAATGGCACCATGACACACAAGTAATAAAGACATCATGTACATGTAATCACCTGTTCTATCTCTGCACGAGGTGAATCTAGCTAAATTAAGGACCAGATGAGAGATGGAATGAAAGGTACAGGACCAAAAGCAAAGGGTAATGGAAGAGTGCAGGGAAATCCATATCAATGAACACACACACACATGATACATTATTAAGCTACTGCCATCCTACCTCTCCATTCATTTACTTTCATTATATCTCCCTAAAACTTTTACAAAACCATGCATTTTAATGGCTCAACTAATACATTTTTCAAATGTTTATCATACAACTTCAATGTGTAAATACTCTGGTAACCTTTTCAGCCTTTAAGTCTTCACATATAACTTTGCAGCCCTCAATCCCTTGGCTTTGAATGCTAACCACATCACAATAGTTACATGTATTGGTTTTGTGCCATCTCAGGATACTTAAAGAAAGCAAAAGTACCGTACAACTAAAACGATGAAATATAAAATAGCAAAAAGCCTTTGTCTACATGACTGCACCTTGGAAGTGGCATGATTGAGCATCTCCTGCCAAGTATGGTCGAAGACGCATCCCTTCTGCATGAGTCCCTCTTCTGCTAGGAATACCATCTCGCGTGCCGCAGCATGCTGGCTCATGGCACGCTCGTAACGCACTGCAGCTGCCTGGGTCTCCCTGAGTGCCTACAAAAATATTTTTTGTATAGCACTCAACCTAGCATCAAAGGACCCACAGCTGATAATATCTTTAACAATTCCAAGCAATGAAGAATGTAACGGTAATGTCTACTAAACTTGGAGGAATAAATGAATAATATTAATGGTCATTACTTTTAAACTAACTCATCCATTGCCTTATAATAGCTAATTATCAGACAGTATGAATAGACAATATCTAAGGAAACCAAGAAATTTGAGGGGAATATTGACATAATGACAAACTTACGGTCAAAGCCTTGTTAGGAATTTCGTCTCTAAAAAGTACTATAGTGGCATTGTACCATCAACTTTTAAATGCTATAAATTCACCTATTTAGAGTATCATTTTGGCAGATAAAATTATAGCTGTCCCACCATTATTATAGATGTCCCACCAACTCAATATATTTTGAAGAAAAAGACTACCTGTACAATACTGTATACAGAAATGCAACATTTTAGAGCCATGAAAAAAACTGCTAAAGCTTAGAAGTTCTTAGCTAGGTGACCAAGGTTGCTCCCCTAGCCAGAGCCTCAAGTACACACTGGATACTGGTCACTTCAATTGACCAGTTGATCAATTCAATTGACCTGAATTGATCAATTCAGGCACTAATTGATCTTTACCCCCACACAAATATCTATCCTGATGATATCAATTAACCGAGGCAGGGAGTATGTGGAGAATTCCTCCGTCCACAACCCAGTAACTCGTTATAAAACAAAAGAGCAGGACACTACTCGACACCCTGTTGTTTAATACCAAGTCATTTATCACTACTAATTACTGACTAGTAACTAGCTGCTACACTTATCAACACCAGGTGGCAACCAAGTCATCTGAATTAGTTCACAGGAATTTGCATGCTTCTGGTCTACTGACAGCATGCTTGCTGGCTGGGCATTGAGGCTGCTACCTTCCTGTGTCGTTGATTTCATGATATTCCTCCTGTTTCTGCTCCACTACATTCAATGGGTGTTATCTGGTAGGGGCCTCTCAGTAGCTCCTTGAGCATGCTTTGAATTCAGAACCAATTTCATCTATCAACCTCAATAGATGGTCAGTTTTTTAGAAAATAGTGAAATGGGCTTACCCATGGGAGAAAGCAGAGGGAGGCGGCTCATTGCAAAGGAGAGCAGCTGCACGTTAAATGTTAAAATACAGTGCACACAATCATGACAAGACTGAAGGACAAACAACAAGGAATGAAAGGACAACTTCAGAAAGACCACCAATGGCCCCAAGCCCCAATAACAGCTGTGGATAAAACGGTAAATAAATCCGTAAAAGCAGCGAATACAGCCAGAACAAAGCTGGCTGGCTGGCCAGAACAAAACACCATATGGAGGACACGGGGGTCTAGAACTAAAGGGACACGCAAAACTGACAACAAACAGCCCTGATCCAAAAAGTGTGAAAAAAAAGGGCACACCACAATCACAGGACAGAGGGAATAGCAGACTCCAAGCCAGAATACAATACAAAGAATGCCTGAGACTGCTAAGATGTGGCAACAATTAATGAATCAAGGAAAGTCTAGCCTAAAACGTACACCAACTGCAACCAATATGGAGGCCACACATTCAAAAGAACATTTAATTTAGCACCAAGTTCAAGTTTTGAAGAAGGCACTGATGTACCTGATGCTGAACATCTGTGGCAATATCTATCAAACATTATTCCAGTAACCAAATTAAATCATGCCCCCTACCTTTCATCTTCAAAATGCCAATCTTTCTCAGACTTTGTCCTAGTAAAAAACGGAAATCTGAAAAGTAAAAATACTAGTACAGACCAATAGTTCGGTCAAGTTTCACAATTTAACTGCTGCAAGATTCTTATCAAGCTCTAAAGAGTCTTGAGGTCATGGCACCTCAAATTACCAACATTCTTATAATATTCCTCTTTAAGTTGGTCACAGATTTATATTTCCTCTGGTTTTATACAGTATACATTATGTGAATAACTGATTTCACCTCAGCATTACTAAAATATGACTATTTGTATACATCTACAGTATTTGGAAGATAATATATAAAAGCAACTTTCCTTAAATTTCATGCACCAATGATAGTATGTATGAAGCACTCCTTAACAAAATTCTTGCACATTCCACATTTAACACTTGCTTACACTGCGCAGGTTAGACAGGTTATGAGACTTAGTGTGGCCGTGTGGGGCAGTAGAGTGAAATTGCCAAATCACAGGTGGACATAAACATGTAATGAGATGGTGGAATAAAACAGGAATTGAAAATAAAATTAAGACTTTTATCCCAAATAAAATGGTACAAAAAATGAAGCTAGTTAAAATAAATATTTATATTTTATTTTTACACTTACATTTATACACACCAACATGCACCATTTAAAATCTTAATAGCAACAAACTTACGTATTTTCATATTAAAATAACAAAACCCACATTATGTAAGAGCAGAAATAACATAAATATTCCCCTTAGTACTGTACTGTACTGTACCCACCTATACAATATTAGCAAGCTACAGACTGGGATTACCTGTTTTGCATTGATGCGGGCATCATAATACGGACGAGACTGCTCCACACATTTACCCAGCCTCTTGGCCAAGAGGTCAATACGATGAGTGGAGTCAGCAAGCAGTTGCCGGAATAACATACGCGCCTCCTGCAACATCAGTTATGTCATAATGTCCCTCCGGTTTTCAACCGCTTTTATATACAGTATATATAAGCATTTTATACATATATATTTTTTGTAATAATACATATTAAAATGTATACTTACATCAAGATCAACTTCCAATTTATTAATGGTATCAGTCGAGGTGTTGAGTCGTTCTAGCTCAACCTGCAAAATAGAGTTGACAGTTTCCAAAACAACACATTACTGACCAGTGGTAATATATTCTTTATACTGTATATTATTCAATACAAAAAAATGGCAATGTATATATACCAGTTTACATTATAAATAATGTAAAAGATACAAGTGATGGATATTCTAAAACTTTTAAAACTAAAAATAAATTACCTGGTAAGTACAGTACATTCATATAACATTTAATAAATATTGAAACATTCAAGTTGAGTTAACTTCTTATTTCACGAACGTAAGCTTAAGTGATCCTAGAGACTCGTCCCGGCAACAGTATCTGCCTGGAGCCTGCGATCTGGGGATTTATCCCGGTCAAATATTTTCACCTGGAGCCATGGTCTGGGGGACACTTCCAGGTCATAGCCCACCTGGAATCCCAGGATTAATCCAGGTCATAGCCCACCTGGAATCCCAGGATTAATCCAGGTCATAGCCCACCTGGAATCCCAGGATTAATCCAGGTCATAGCCCACCTGGAATCCCAGGATTAATCCAGGTCAATGCCCACCTGGAATCCCAGGATTAATCCAGGTCAATGCCCACCTGGAATCCCAGGATTAATCCAGGTCAATGCCTACCTGGAATCCCAGGATTAATCCAGGTCAATGCCCACCAGGATCCTGGAATACCAGGACTTATCCAGGTCAATACCCACCTGGATCCTGGAATCCTACGACTATCCCAGGTCAATGCCCCCCTGGATCGTGGGGCTTGTCTAGATCAACAATACCCACCTGGATCCTATCCAGGTCAACACCCACCTGGATCCTGGGATCCGGAGACTCGTCCAGGTCAGCACTCAGGTTGTCCGAGCTGACCCTCTGTCTGGGCTGGTCACTCAGGTCCACCTCCTCCATCTTGGACAACGGCGGCGCCTCCCTCACCCCTCCACACCCCAACCCATGAAAATTAATCTACTCCCGCCCCGTTTCAACTCCACGAATAAGCCAGGACAACCCCCTACAGTTTCGTCTGCAGAGCTGGCAGTATAAGTGCCAGGAATACACAAGTTAGAACCTATAAAAGAAGATTCCAATGCCTCAAGATGGGAGATAATCAGGAACAAAGGAGCATCAACTATACGTTTAACGCATTGGGGTTTTGGCCACCTGCTGTATATTCTTTTTTCTATGATATTTTGATTGACAGGAACTCATTAAACTAATAGGATGCAGAAGCCCAATGCATCTAACAGATATATATATATATAAATATATATGTCTATCATTGCCTCACATGATAAATAATCGTGTGAGTGTGGCTATAGCTGTGTGATGCTCCGGTGATTATTCCGGTTTACTATTTGTTTACAGGAAGGGAATAATCAGGATTACCCTACACGCTCAATTTTAGCGATTTTGTTTCACATTACACCAATGATAGATTATTAACATATAATTAATATTATATATATATATATATATATGTCGTACCTAATAGCCAGAACGCACTTCTCAGCCTACTATTCAAGGCCCGATTTGCCTAATAAGCCAAGTTTTCATGAATTAATGTTTTTTCGTCTACCTAACCTACCTAACCTAACCTAACCTAGCTTTTTTTGGCTACCTAACCTAACCTTACCTATAAATATAGGTTAGGTTAGGTTAGGTAGGGTTGGTTAGGTTCGGTCATATATCTACGTTAATTTTAACTCCAATAAAAAAAAATTGACCTCATACATAGAGAAAAGGGTTGCTTTATCATTTCATAATACAAAAATTATAGTAAATATATTAATTCAGGAAAACTTGGCTTATTAGGCAAATCGGGCCATGAATAGTAGGCTGAGAAGTGAGTTCTGGCTACTAGGTACGACATATATATATATATATATATATATATATATATATATATATATATATATATATATATATATATATATATATATATATATATATATATATATATATATATATATATATACAAATTGGTTTAATAAGTTGTGTAAATGCAGATTTTGCCGATTAAAATGACATTCTTATAAAGCAACTAACACAGTACAGTATACTAACAATTTAGACTTCATGGGTGTCACTGCCCCCCGCCCCCCCCCAGGGCACACAACTTCTAAGACCAACGTTAATTCAACGTTTTTTTCAACGTTGAATAAACGTTCATGACATTGAATTGGAGTTGTTCTTGGATATCGTGGTCACTGGGCCATGGGTGGCTATGGTGGCCGACCCTTACCGCCCATGTTGGGCACCAGAATAATTTGATTTCTGCAAATGAAATTCATCTGAGGGGTCACTGACATATATTGGTCTCGACGAAAGAAAGGATTAGTAGAAATTCTAAGAGAGAATCAAATAGTTTCCGACTTTCATATTATTTCACCTGTCAGCTAATGATATTAGGTGAACATGCTTGTGCTTTAATTTTATTTAGTAGCCCCTCATATATAATATGGTATTAGTAGTAGAAGTAGTACATTGTACTACCTAAGCTTTTAATCAAAACAAAATGCATAAATTCATTCAAAATGATCTGCTACCAGAAATTTTAGCCAAATATCCCCAGTTTGCTAACTGTAGGTAGTAACTAAGTGATTGTAACCTATCCACCGCTGCCCACTGGATGGGGGGCGGTGTGCAGGACAAACATATAACTTGTGACACTATCTCTCCACATATGTCAGTTGCTTAATTTAGAACATGTACTTGAGGTCGATCTCGAATCCATTGTTGATGTGATGACTTATATTGAATTTTTTAACTAGCTCATCAAGATTGTAACTTGCTTAGCTAAATGAATTGTGGGGTTCAGTCCCTGAGCCCATTATGTGCCTCTGTAACCCTTTCCACTACCGCCCACAAGATGGGTATGGGGTGCATAATAAATGAACTAAACTAAAAATTCACTACACAATTAAGGTTCTTATTTGCGTCTTATTTCATTGTAAAAGGAGTTAATTTCCAAACAGGGTTGTATAAATAAATCTTATCTTATCTTTGCATTCAATTTTGTACGGTAATTTTTCAAACTTAAAATGTAAATAGCTATATATATATATATATACCCCCTCTAAATGAAAAATGGCCTAATTTAACATATGTGCTAAAAATATTAACATAAATAATTCGTTTGTTAGATAACAAGATATTCATAGCAATAAGGTTTCTTGGAATGGCCTATAATGCACGCAAATACTAGTTTACACACTTTTCGGGTAGTACGCCTGGAATTTCAAAATGGCGTTCAAACGGCGGTTGGTCGTTAAAGGCTCAGCGGCTCAGTAGTGTCGCTGCCGCCAACGCGACAACATGTACCACTGATTTCCGAAATCAGCAACATTGCTCCAGGTCAGAGTGATAATTCTTTTTGACATATTTATATCTTATATATACACAGTATATAGAATTATATAATATAATGGGGTTTTGCGTATGGAGTTTGCTTCGAATTGCTGCCTATCAATTTTTTTTTTTTTTTTTTTGATATATACAAGAGTTGTTACATTCTTGTACAGCCACTAGTACGCATAGCGTTTCGGGCAAGTCCTTAATCCTATGATCCCTGGAATACGATCCCCTGCCGCGAAGAATCGTTTTTTCATCCAAGTACACATTTTACTGTTGGTGGAGAGCTAGTGTCACAATTTATGTTTGTCCTGCACACCGCCCCCCATCCAGTGGGCAGCGGTGGATAGGTTACAATCACTCGGTTACTACCTACAGTTAGCAGACTGGGGATATTTGGCTAAAATTTCTGGTAGCAGATCGGGTCCCCCATTTGTTCCGATTTTGTTTCAAATTGGATTTTACAATTCAAGTGTTATGTTATTTACTGCTTTAGCAGATAGGCGGTTCCATGGGTTTATAACCCTGTGGGTGAAAATATAGCTTATGTTTTCAGTCCTACACTGCGGCTTGTTGGACTTGAAACCGTTGTTCCTTGTTTGTGTTCCATCTGACCTTTTGAAGTTGTTCTCTGGATCCATATCTTCGAAACTGTTCAATATTTTAATAGGCAGGCGATGAGTCACAATAACGTGGCTGAAGTATGTTGACCAGACCACACACTAGAAGTTGAAGGGACGACGAGTTTCGGTCCGTTCTGGACCATTCTCAAGTCGATTCAAGTCGATATTTTAATAGTTTCGGTGAGATCCATCCTGGCATGCCTAGTTTGCAGTGTTGTTAGCCCTGTGACCCTCAACCGTTCATGGTATGAAACTAGACCTCATTCTGCAATTATTTTTGTCGCCTGGTGTTCAATTTTCTCCATGAAAGGTTGGGCGCGGGGTGGGTTCTCTGTCGGGCTCCAAGTGGGTTCTCTGTCGGGCTCCAAGTGGGTTCTCTGTCGGGCTCCAAGTGGGTTCTCTGTCGGGCTCCAAGTGGGTTCTCTGTCGGGCTCCAAGTGGGTTCTCTGTCGGGCCCCAAGTGGGTTCTCTGTCGGGCCCCAAGTGGGTTCTCTGTCGGGCCCCAAGTGGGTTCTCTGTCGGGCCCCAAGTGGGTTCTCTGTCGGGCCCCAAGTGGGTTCTCTGTCGGGCCCCAAGTGGGTTCTCTGTCGGGCCCCAAGTGGGTTCTCTGTCGGGCCCCAAGTGGGTTCTCTGTCGGGGCTCCGGGGTGGGTTGTCGGTCGGGGCTCCGGGGTGGGTTGTCGGTCGGGGCTCCGGGGTGGGTTGTCGGTCGGGGCTCCGGGGTGGGTTGTCGGTCGGGGCTCCGGGGTGGGTTGTCGGTCGGGGCTCCGGGGTGGGTTGTCGGTCGGGGCTCCGGGGTGGGTTGTCGGTCGGGGCTCCGGGGTGGGTTGTCGGTCGGGGCTCCGGGGGGGTTGTCGGTCGGGGCTCCGGGGTGGGTTGTCGGTCGGGGCTCCGGGGTGGGTTGTCGGTCGGGGCTCCGGGGTGGGTTGTCGGTCGGGGCTCCGGGGTGGGTTGTCGGTCGGGGCTCCGGGGTGGGTTGTCGGTCGGGGCTCCGGGCAGGCTTTAGGTACTCAACTGGCGGGCTCTGGGTGGGTGACTGTTCGGGCTCCAGGTGGGTGTCTGTCCGGCTTCGGGTGGGTTCTTGGTTGGGCTTGGGGGGTGTGGGTTCTTGGTAGGGCTTGGGGGGAGGGGTGTGGGTACTTGCTAGGGCTTGGGAGGGTGTGGGTACTTGGTAGGGCTTGGGGGGGTGTGGGTTCTTGGTAGGGCTTGGGGGGGTGTGGGTTCTTGGTAGGACTTGGGGGGGGGGGGTTCTTGGTAGGACTTGGGGGGGGTGTGGGTTCTTGGTAGGACTTGGGGGGGGGTGTGGGTTCTTGGTAGGACTTGGGGGGGGGTGTGGGTTCCTGGTAGGGCTTGGGGGGGGTGTGGGTTCCTGGTAGGGCTTGGGGGGGGTGTGGGTTCTTGGTAGGGCTTGGGGGGGTGTGGGTTCTTGGTAGGGCTTGGGGGGGGGGTATTTGGTAGGGCTTGGGGGGTGTGGGTACTTGGTAGGGCTTGGGGGGGTGTGGGTTCTTGGTAGGGCTTGGGGGGGTGTGGGTTCTTGGTAGGGCTTGGGGGGGGTGTGGGTTCTTGGTAGGGCTCGGGGGGGTGTGGGTTCTTGGTAGGGCTCGGGGGGGTGTGGGTTCTTGGTAGGGCTCGGGGGGGGTGTGGGTTCTTGGTAGGGCTCGGGGGGGTGTGGGTTCTTGGTAGGGCTCGGGGGGTGTGGGTTCTTGGTAGGGCTCGGGGGGGTGTGGGTTCTTGGTAGGGCTCGGGGGGGTTGGGTTCTCTGTAGGGCTCGGGGGGGTTGGGTTCTCTGTAGGGCTCGGGGTGGGTTCTCGGTAGGGCTCGGGGCGGGCTCCAGGTACTCAACTGACGGGTTCCAGTTCACTCAACTGGCGGGCTCCGGTTCACTCAACTGGCGGGCTCCGGTTTATTAAACTGGCGGGCTCCGGGTGTTTGACTGGTCGGGCTCCGGGTGGGTGACTGTTCGGGCTCCAGGTGGGTGTCTGTCCGGCTTCGGGTATGTTCTTGGTAGGGCTTCGGGGTGGGTTCTTGGTAGGACTTAGGGTTGGCTCCCGGTCAGGCTCAGGGT